AGTCCCGGTTCAGTCCTGGTTTAGACCTGGTTTAGTCCCGGTTTAGTCCCAGTTTAGTCCTGATTTAGTCCCGGTTTAGTCCCGGTTTAGTCCCGGTTTAGTCCTGGTTTAGTCCTGGTTTAGTCCTGGATTAGACCTGGTTTAGTCCTGGTTTAGACCTGGTTCAGACCTGGTTTAGACCTGGTTTAGTCCCGGTTTAGTCCTGGATTAAACCTGGTTTAGTCCTGGATTAGACCTGGTTTAGTCCTGGTTCAGACCTGATTTAGTCCTGGATTAGACCTGGTTTAGTCCTGGATTAGACCTGGATTAGACCTGGTTTAGTCCTGGTTTAGTCCTGAATTAGACCTGGTTTAGTCCTGGTTTAGACCTGGTTTAGTCCTGGTTTAGACCTGGTTCAGTCCTGGTTTAGACCTGGTTTAGTCCTGGTTTACCTGGTTTAGACCTGGTTTAGTCCTGGTTTAGACCTGGTTTAGTCCTGGTTTAGTCCTGGTTTAGACCTGGTTTAGTGGTTTAGACCTGGTTTAGACCTGGTTTAGACCTGGTTTAGACCTGGTTTAGTCCTGGTTTAGGTTTAGACCTGGTTTAGTCCTGGTTTAGTCCTGGTTAGACCTGGTTTAGACCTGGTTTAATCCTGGTTTAGACCTGGTTTAGTCCTGGTTTAGACCTGGTTTACCTGGTTTATCCTGGTTTAGTCCTGGTTCAGACCTGGTTTAGTCCTGGTTTAGTCCTGGTTCAGACCTGGTTTAGTCCTGGTTTAATCCTGGTTTAGACCTGGTTTAATCCTGGTTTAGTCCTGGTTCAGACCTGGTTTAGTCCTGGTTTAGTCCTGGTTTAGACCTGGTTTAGTCCTGGTTTAGTCCTGGTTTAATCCTGGTTTAGACCTGGTTTAATCCTGGTTTAGTCCTGGTTTAGTGGTTTAGTCCTGGTTTAGTCCTGGTTTAGACCTGGTTTAGTCCTGGTTTAGTCCTGGTTTAGACCTGGTTTAGACCTGGTTTAGTCCTGGTTTAGACCTGGTTTAATCCTGGTTTATCCTGTTTAGTCCTGTTTAGTCCTGGTTTAGACCTGGTTTAGTCCTGGTTTAGTCCTGGTCCTGGTTTAGTCCTGGTTTAGTCCTGGTTTAGTCCTGGTTTAGTCCTGGTTTAGTCCTGGTTTAGACCTGGTTTAGACCTGGTTTAGTCCTGGTTTAGTCCTGGTTTAGACCTGGTTTAGTCCTGGTTTTAGTCCTGGTTTAGTCCTGGTTTAGACCTGGTTTAATCCTGGTTTAGTCCTGTTTAGTCCTGGTTTAGTCCTGGTTTAGACCTGGTTTAATCCTGGTTTAGACCTGGTTTAGTCCTGGTTTAGACCTGGTTTAATCCTGGTTTAGACCTGGTTTAATCCTGGTTTAGACCTGGTTTAGTCCTGGTTTAGTCCTGGTTTAGACCTGGTTTAGTCCTGGTTTAGTCCTGGTTTAGTCCTGGTTTAGACCTGGTTTAGTTTAGTCCTGGTTTAATCCTGGTTTAGACCTGGTTTAATCCTGGTTTAGACCTGGTTTAGTCCTGGTTTAGTCCTGGTTTAGACCTGGTTTAGACCTGGTTTAGACCTGTTTATCCTGTTTAGACCTGGTTTAATCCTGGTTTAGTCCTGGTTTAGTTGGTTTAAGACCTGGTTTAGTCCTGGTTTAGACCTGGTTTAGTCCTGGTTAGACCTGGTTTAGACCTGGTTTAGACCTGGTTTAGACCTGGTTTAGTCCTGGTTTAGTCCTGGTTTAGTCCTGGTTTAATCCTCTCTACACCGGTGTTTGTGAGTGCTTTTTAGGTCAGATTGGGCTGCGTCTCATTCGTCTTTCATCGCTTCCTTCTCCTCGAGTCTGTAGGAAATGGACAGAGGAGACGCAGCAAGGACAGAGGATCTAAACTCCTCACTGAGACCAATAAAACAGATTCTTTTCTCTGATGTCCGCTCCTGAAGCCTCCCTCAGGTTTACTCCTTCCTTCCGGGGTTTTCTTCGGGACACCGCTTAATATGACACATTTGATTGACAGCTGAAAAAGGAGAGGAATCAAGGAGAAGGAAGCGAGGAAAGAGAACAGAGACACATCCCCAGAGATATGTAATAGTTTTGAAAGTCAACCAATCGATGGGCAGCACGTGTGTTTAGTCCAACAATCATTTCATTAGTCGATGACAACCTGAATCTGACATGTGGTTTCTGCATCACTGTTTTTTCATGTGAGTTAAATGTCCGTATATTGATGTAAGTGTTTTGTATGTGTGGTGTGTAAAATGATCATGTTTTTACTTAAAGACGCACTGTGTCACTTTTCTGGTGGGCAGTATGACCCTTCCTGGTCTTCACAGAGATGTTACTGCTGCGCTGGGAATCTGCTACAGTTTGACCTTAAACACATCCTCCTTACATCCAGTGTTGGGGAGTAACAGATTACATGTACCGGCGTTATGTAATCAGAGTACAAATGATGAGTAACTGTATTCAGTTACAGTTACTGTTTCAATGAGTGGTAATTAGATTACAGTTACTTTGTTGAAATAAATGGATTACATGGATGCATTCACATTTTGGGCTAAACCAGGACTAAAACCAGGACTAAAACCAGGACTAAAGCAGGACTAAAGCAGGACTAAACCAGGACTATACTAGGACTAAAACCAAGACTAAAACCAGGACTAAAACCAGGACTAAAGCAGGACTAAAGCAGGACTAAAACCAGGACTAAAGCAGGACTAAAACCAGGACTAAAACCAGGACTAAAGCAGGACTAAAGCAGGACTAAACCAGGACTAAAACCAGGACTAAAGCAGGACTAAAACCAAGACTAAAACAAGGACTAAAGCAGGACTAAAACCAGGACTAAAGCAGGACTAAAACCAGGACTAAATCAGGACTAAAACCAGGACTAAAGCAGGACTAAAACCAGGACTAAAACCAGGACTAAAGCAGGACTAAAGCAGGACTAAAACCAGGACTAAAACCAGGACTAAAGCAGGACTAAAGCAGGACTAAATCAGGACTAAAGCAGGACTAAACCAGGACTAAAACTAGGACTAAACCAGGTAAAATCAGGACTAAACCAGGGCTAAACAATATGACACTTAACAGTGGGGTGGACATAATCTTTAAGAAGAGAAAACATCTTATGTTAAATTATTCTAGTTTTTGTTTCTCTACACCAAAACAAAAGTCTGTTCATGGAGACTTGGGCTCAACAGCCAATTTGAAGAGAACAAACAAGAACTTTCAGGATGTGTTTGATACATTCATTTAGTTTTAAAAAGCATGACAATATCAAGTAATCCAAAGTATTCAGATTACGTTACTCACTTTAAATCATTTAATGGATTATGTTACAAACTACATTTTGGGGTTTGTAATCTGTAATCTGTAGGGGAAAACATTTTAAAAGTCACCTTCCCAACACTGCTTATATTGTCCTTTTTACATCGCTTTTTGTCAGTATTCTCAGGGAGTTTGGCGCTAACTGAAGGCACTGCTCTGTTATTTAAATTAGACAAAATCTGACCAGAGCTGACTTGACTGAAAATGCCTAAACAAGACCATGTACATTTGCTGCAGAATCTTGCACGGGTCCATTTTTGGAGACCCACACCCGCGCAGTACAGCACCACACCCGCCCTTTAACCTGTGATTATATGAGAGTTAAATCCGCACCCGCCCGGACCCATTAACATTCCACCCGTTACCCGCCCGTGCCCGTAATAAATCGGAGTCAGCCCATTAGTCCAGGACTAAACCAGGACTAAAGCAGGACTGAACCTACGCTGTGTCATTAGCAGATTATAAATATATACACTCCACAAACCACAGAGCCCATTGACAAGACTACACCAGGACTGGACCAGGTCTAAACCAGGACTAATCCAGGAATGAACCGAGATTTAACCAGGACTAAACCAGGACTAAACCAGGAGCGCAGCCTCCGAGTCTTTCACCTCCGAGTCTGATGGGTTTATGTAATAAATATACTAAAGCAGGAGTGTCAATCTCAAATTCACAGAGGGACAAAATTCAAAACTGGGACTAAGTCGTGGGTCAAACTAAATATTTAAATTGTTGGAAAATATCAGCAACATTTGCATGTTTTTTCTTCTTTTGAAATATTTTAATAAGAAAAGGTTTAACATTACATAAGTATTCGATAATAGTTTTGCTTAAAGCGTAATATAAAATAATAACAACATTTTAAATAAATAATGTCTCTATAGCCTGTCTGTAGTGGGCGAGCAACTCTGATACATATTTGATATGATCTCACGGGCCAAATTTGGCCCCCGGGCCTGAGTTTGACTGGTCTGCACTAAAGTCTCTCTCAGTCTGGGTCGTTGTTCTGGGAAAAGACTGGGAAATGTCACTTGTTTCCAGGGTCCATGGTCTCCCGTTCATCGTTCACCTGACCCGCCCATGTATAATCATTACCCGCCGTCATATCCGCCTGTAAAATTCCAGAACGATAAAACCCGCCGGTTTCAGCAACTACGTAGCAACAACCCGGTGCAGGACTCTGACTTGCTGTTTTAAATCAGTGTTTTTATTCCATTGTTAATTCTTTAGTTTTCACACCATCTAAAAACTTTTTTCTCTGTGTTTTCTAATACATTCTGCCAATTTATAGAGACGCATGTAGAGCACCCCCGGCGTGATGTCAATGCAAATTATCAGTTGCTGAAAAATGCTGGAAAACATGCCTTGTTACTGTGAGTGAGATCTGACGTGTAACGTGGTCAGGTGGATCTAGATAAGTTTAATGGCAGATTGTCCAACTTTTTAGGCAAAAAAGCAGTAACATCTCCATGGAAACAAGCAAGCTCCTCCTCCAGAAAAGTTACACAGTGCTTCTTTATATTTAGTGATTCTTAACCGCCGTTTTGACGCACAGCCTTTAGCCAAAGCTTTGCCGTGTCTGTCTGCGAAACGCCCACTGTTTGCCCCGATGAGAAGAGTCGGTTACAGTGAGCAGAAGATCATTTTCTCGTTGTGTTTTCAGGAGTCCAGGCCCGAGCCGCGTCCCAGGATGAGCCTCCGCAGACGGCCCGCAGGCTGCCCTCGGACACCCAGCCCGAGAGCGCCGCGGACGGGTCAGACTTCCCCCTGCGCTCCCCCGTCCGCTGCGTGTCTCCGGAGTTCGTCAACGCCATCGCCCTCAACCCCGGAGGGCGCCCCAAAGAGGTACCTCAGACGAAAACACAGCGAAAACAGGCTCACCCTCGCTCAGATCTGAAGATGGGCGGAGCTTATATGTTGTTGCACCGTGATTGGGTGAAGCTGCTGTCACTCAAAACAGCTACAAATGACGATTGAGGTTTTGATGATTCTCAGATTTTGACTTAATTTGGTGGGATGATGGGAAGACGTTTGGAAAGACGCGATTACAACTTCCGGTGGTTCGTCGTAAGTCTGACAAAATCTAGAAACAAAATTTGAAAATGTCCTAGTCTTCTTCATCTGCATGTCATTGTAGCTTTCCATTATATTCAATCAATCAAAAATGATATTATATTATATTATTAAACAAAACATATAGTTTAAAATAATTACTCCTGGTCATTTTGGACGCATCGTTGCACGTTTTTGGGGATCTGATTTCTCAAAAAATCTCATGTAACCTTTCCCAGTAGAATTTCAAATATTATTAAGAGTTTAAAGTGTAAATTACTGCAAGGAATTACTGAAAAAGATAAAACATAAACACAAGAGTACAGGAAACAACTTTATAACTTATAACTTTTTGGTTGGGGGTCCGTCACCTTCTTGTTTCTATGGAGATGTCATTGCTCTGTCTGGAATGTTCCACAGTGAAACATTAAACAGCTCTACTTTACATTTATTCAATTACAGGTGGATTTATTGCTCAAAAGTACCTAGAAAAACAGACATTCTGACTGTGAGTGGGGTCGCCTCTCCACAGATCTGACCTGTAACTCTGTCTGGTTTGGTCTCCATGAAGATATAAAGGTTTAATGCCATACTGTGAAACATTCCAGACAAAACAATAACATCGCCATGGAGAAAACACATTTGACGGACCCTCCAACAGAAAAGTTACACAAGTTTTTTTTGTTTGTTTTATGAAATTCTCTGGTTGTATTTCTTTCACAGAGACACATGCACAGTTACCGCGAGGCCTTCGAGGAGCTGGAGGCAGCGCCCCCTACTGTTGGTGGTGAGGTGTTACCCCAAACCCCAGCCTTCCCCGTGTCACCGCAAACCCCCTACTTCAACCTGTGTAAGTCCCCCACCCGCTGGCAGAGGGCGCTGTGGAGATCATGAGAATTTATGTGATTTATTTAAAAAAATGCTGAAACTATAGCCAGAAGTGAAATGAAAATAAGTGTTTAATTTTTCTGTGATAATCCAATGTCAAATGTTACATATTAGGTAGTCCATTTTTTTTTTCTTTCTACTGACCTATGAACAACGTTTCCTTGAAGTTCCATCCTTCAGAGTCTTTAAAGGTCCTGTATTACACAAAATTGACTCTCGTGAGCTTTAAGTCATGTTATAATGTTTTTCCTCCTCAAAAACAGACCTGGAGTTGTGTTTTGTTTCATTCACACGTTTGAGTAACTCTTTATTGTTAGTCTGTCGACATCTCCAAAGCTCCAGATGCTCTGTTTCACCTTGTGATATCATGTAGTGGTACTTTTCAAGTTAACAGATTGGCGATTCCAGGGCTGAAATGATTCTAGTGAAGGTGTATGAAGTTTAAAACACAATGGAGCACTTCCTGTATTACCACATGGCATCACAAAGTGGAACAGAGTGTTTCTGGAGAAGAATTCAGTCTTAATAAGAAGGATTTGTGTGTTAAACATCCATCCATCCATTTTCTTCCACTTATCTGGGGCCAGGTTGCAGGGACAGCAGTCTAAGCAGGGACTCCCAGACTTTGTTCACTCCAGTTCCTCTGGGGGGCTCCCAAGGTGTTCCCAGTCTAGAAACATAGTCCCTCCAGTGTGTCCTGGGTCTTCCCCGGGGTAGGACATGTCCAGAACACCTCCTGAGGCAGACGCTCAGGAGGCATCCAGAACAGATGCCCGAGGCACCTCAACTGGCTCCTCTCGACGTGGAGGAGCAGTGGCTCTACTCTAAGCTCCTCCCGTGTGACTGAGCTCCTCACCCTGTCTCTAAGGGAGCGCCCAGCCACCCAGCGGAGGAAACAGGACAAGATCACAGATACAAGCGGTCGTAATTGGCGTTCGAAATGTGTTAAACATGTGTGAATGAAACAAAACACAACTCCAGGTCTGTTTGTGATGAGGGAACTACATTAGAACACAGATCAGAAAATGGCCCTTGGACCATTGGGCCCTTTAAAGTACAATTTGTCACCTTAGTTTGCAGATTTTATTTGCAATTGTATCTTAAAATGTCCACTTCCCAAGGACCAAATTGAAGTAGTTTGCGTTCTGTGGTAAGTCTCTGGTGCACAGCGTCAGCCCACACTCCAACCCCCCTCCTCCCTCCTCCCCTCCCTGAGCTCGTGAGTGACCCCTCTCCACAGACGTCGTCCTGCACTGCTTTGGCATGGCAGTGGCACAGCAGCACGTGTGAGAACATCTGGTTTAGTTTGTCACATTCTCAGTTTATGAACAGGCCTCAAGTGAAAACTCAGAACCTCCAGGATTCCCTCCCTGAGCTGCGGAGGCTGCACTAGCACTGACTCATGTCTGGTGCAGGTGTTTAGTTCGAGACCGTTCAGATCACAGAGAGACAATTTAGGTTTAAACCAACTGGATTTCAGCATCTAAACTGGCAACGCAAATGAGAAAGTCATATGAGGCTCATTCTGCTTCTGATTGGAGAATCATCTTGACCCAAAACACCAAATAAATCCAAATCTTCTAAACAGTTTCTTGAAAGGTTCATTGTGCAACTTTTCTGGTGGATGGTCGGTCACCTGCTTGTCTTCGTGGAGATGTTATGTCTTTGTCTAGAATCTTCCATGATAGAGATAAAACCTGTAAACTACATTACACGTCAGATCTGTGGAGCAGCAATCCTATTCACAGAGAGAATGATTGTATTTTTGAACAACAAAAGCTCCTGTAATGAATAAATATTACAGTAGATAGATGTGTTTAACGTCATACCATGGAACAGTCCAGGAAAAGCAATGACATCTCCATGGAGACGAGCAGGTGATGGTCTTCCTGCAGAAAAGTTACACAATGCACCAGAGCAGAATTATCTTCTTTGTTGTGTCTTGTAGCTGCAGCCAGTCTAATCCAGAGAGCTTCCGTCTAAACCCGTGTGTGGGCTGGAGCAGACAGTCAGGTTTATTTCTGTGTTTACACAGATTCAACTAGAATCCTAAATTGTACTAGTACTAAAAGTACTGGTCACATGTTCAGAGTAGTACGGGTTTAACTTTCTACACTGCACAAAGTTACGTACTGTACCTTTAGTTTATACCAGTGGTGGAAGAAGTATGTTTCCATTTTGTTACTTAAGTCAAAGTAAAAGTAAAAATACTCAACTCATCCTCAAGTAAAAGTATAACACAAAAAAAAATCTACTTACAGGGTTCCCATGGTCATGGAAATCCTGGAAAAGCCACAAAAATTGAAATGTCATTTTCCAGGCCAGGAAAACTCATACAATTTTGTAAATTCAATGAAAGTTTTGGAAAAGTCATGGAATTTTAGTATCTCTTTCACTCAACTACAGCGTTCTGTTAAGTTCTCATGAGGCTATTGTGATTATTTCTGAACGTCTGCGTCTTTTGTTTAAAAGAGACGACATAAAATGCATTGACAATAGGGATGTAACAATATCCAAACATCACAGTATGATATTATCACATCTTACGGTACAATATTTATTGCGATATTTTGAATATAATTGTGGATGGGACACTTTTTTACTTTTAAAATACCCTGACAAGATTTTTGTGTGAATTATTTCCATCATTATCCCAAGAATTCAGATAAAAAATTTATCTCTTTATGCACTGAAAGTAGAGATGTAATGATATCACAGTACGATATTTTCATGATGTGCATCTCATCTCTATTTATTGTGATAGTTTGAAGAGGCTGATATAATTGTAGATGGGACTCTTTTTTGCTTTTAAATACCTTAACATGATTTTGGTGTAAATATTTTCATCATAATCCCAAGAATTCAAGTCAAAAACATTTCTTCATGTTGTCTACGCTGAAATGAATCATGGGATATGTAGTTTCTGATGTTCATAAGCTGTTGCTTCTATAAAACCATGCATTTAAACAGATTTACTTGTCATTCGATATATTGTGACAGCTCACGATATTACTGTGAGACTATGAGACGATATGATATCACAATATTTAGTTTATTGCTACATCCATAACTGAGAGTATTTTGAATGTTAAAAAACTATAATCCCAAACCATACGGTGAGTGGAAAGGGTTAACATTTCATATTTAGCCCTAAAAGTCTGATCAATTCTACACAAAGTCATGGGAAATTCACTTTACGTCATGCAAAAGTTATGGAAAAGTTTTGAAATTTTGTCAGTGAAAAAGAGTGGGAACCCTGAACTTACCGTATTTTCTGAACTATTAGACGCACTCTTAAGCTTCCATCCCCACCAACAAACGACCGCGCGCCCCGCAGTCCAGAGCACCCTTTAACGAATCCACTCGAGTGTCCCAGCACGACTTCAGTAAACTACAAAGCCGCACCACCCACAGAACACACAAACACACACGGAGCAGACAGAGACCACACAGCGGAACACACCCACAGACACACTCATCACTCCACGCCGACGAGGAACGGAACGGAGGAACGAACCGAAAAAGCGAGTGCAACGTGCCACTTCTAGACACAACTGAACAACTGAGTCACTGCGAACACGCCGACAATCCAGCGGCACCCTCCCTACACACCACAACTGAACAAAGCCCAGAGTCACCGTGAACGCCACAAACAAACAAAACCACTCACCCATCACACTGTTGGGTTTCCTTTAAAGTTTACTTTATTACGGTTTATTTGTGAAATAAAGTTTGAAAATAGATCATTTAATGACAGTGCGCCTTATAATCCAGAGCGACTAATAGCCCGGAAAATACGGTAAGTCGCCATTAAAAACTTTATAAAGACTAAAAAGTAAAAAGTACTGATGCAACAACAACCAAAATATCGTGATATCGTATCCTAAAAAGTCTCACAATAATATCATGGGCTGTCACAATATATCGAATCCCAAGTTCCTTTGTTTAAATGTATTGTTTTATAGTAACAAAAGCTAATAAACATCGGGAACTACATATCCCATGATTCATTTCACTGCAGACAACATGAAGAAATATGTTTTTTACTTGAATTCTTGGGATTATGATGGAAATTATTCGCACCAAATCTTGTCAAGGTATTTTAAAAGCAAAAAAGTGTCCTTTCTACAATGATAACAGCCTCTTCAAAATATCGTAATAAATATCGAACCATGAGATGCATATCGTGATAATATTGTACTGTGAGATTTGGATATCGTTACATCCCAAGTAAAAAGTATTTTTGTGCATATTATAACGCATCAAATTAAGTGATTTATTTATTTTATTTTTTTAGACATTTGTATATTTTCGTTTGCTAAAATTTGGAATGTGTTAATAATAAACTTCTCAGATTTTTCAACAAATCTCAATCTAAAACTGTCCACCACTGTTCCACCACTGGTTTATAAGCCTCTGCGTATAATTTAGGATAAAAAATAAAATTTAAAAAAAAGGCCAAAATGAGGATCTTATTTTATTTTGCAATGAAAAAGTTGAATTATTTGCTGACATGTGAAGAGTGTGAGGGTTCGGTAGAGCAGCTCTGGCATGCACTCACATCCCGGTACGTGATAAAACCCCGCGATCGTGTTTGTGTCACTGTTTTTGTGCATGTTTTGGCTGCAGCCGAGCACCGGGCATGACCTCTGACCTCTGACCCTGTGATCTGTGTTTTTATTGAAGTGTGTGTGAGCAGCTGCTACCTGTAACAATCACTATGAGAACGATTTAAAGCTTTAGACATTTTTAAACCGGAAAGTTTACAAGCGAGTTTGTTGCTGTCACTTAAAGGTGCACTGTGGAACTTTTCTCATGGTCTCCTTTAAAGCTCATGTGTTACTCAAAAGTGACTCTTGTGAGCTTCAGGATATGTTAGAATGTTGTTACCTCCTCAAAATCAGACCTGGAGTTGTGTTTTGTTTCATTCACACATGTTTGAGTAACTCTTTATTCTTAGTCTTTGTCTTCTGTTCCACTTTGTGATGTCAGGAAGCTGTAAGTCAGACATGTCAAACTCAGGCCCGGGGACCAAACTTGGCCCGCAATATAATTATATTTGGCCCACAAGCAGTGTTGGGAAGGTTACTTTTAAAAGGTATTCCCCTACAGATTACAGATTACATACACCAAAATGTAGTTTGCAACGTAATCCATTAAATTACTTAAAGTGAGTAACGTAATCTGAATACTTTGGATTACTTGATTTGCTGTAGATAAGCAAAGACGAGGATATTTAACCATATTAAAAATATTATTGATAGAAAAGGAGGAGACACGTCCACGCAGCATGATTTTGTCCTGTTAAATCCTGTTTTAGACCTGGTTTAGATCTAGTTTAGACCTGGTTTTAGTCCTGGTTTAGATCTAGTTTAGACCTGGTTTTAGTCCTGGTTTAGATCTAGTTTAGACCTGGTTTAGTCCTGGTTTAGTCCTGGTTTAGATCTAGTTTAGACCTGGTTTTAGTCCTGGTTTAAACCTGGTTTAGATCTAGTTTAGACCTGGTTTTAGTCCTGGTTTAGATCTAGTTTAGACCTGGTTTTAGTCCTGGTTTAGATCTAGTTTAGACCTGGTTTTAGTTCTGCTTTAAACCTGGTTTGGATCTAGTTTAGTCCTGGTTTAGATCTAGTTTAGACCTGGTTTTAGTCCTGGTTTAAACCTGGTTTAGATCTAGTTTAGTCCTGGTTTAGATCTAGTTTAGACCTGGTTTTAGTCCTGGTTTAAACCTGGTTTAGATCTAGTTTAGACCTGGTTTTAGTCCTGGTTTAGTTCTGGTTTAAACCTGGTTTAGATCTAGTTTAGTCCTGGTTTAGATCTATCTTAGACTTGGTTTTAGTCCTGGTTTGATCTATCTTAGACCTGGTTTAGTTTCCAGCAATGAGTGGAATTACCAAAAAATAAAAATAATATTAAAAAAACATAAAAATAATGTGAAACCAGGAAAATACCACCATGTAATCCATTTATTTCAACAAAGTAACTGTAATCTAATTACCACTCACTGAGACAGTAACTGTAACTGAATACAGTTACTCATAATTTGTACTCTGATGACGTAACTCCAGTACATGTAATCTGTTACTCCCCAACACTGCCCACAAGATCGTATCAAACATGTATTAGAGCTGCCCGCCGGCTACAAATAGACTATAGAGATAGACTATAGACTATTTAAAATGTTATTATTTTATATTCTGCTTGTTCTGGATTCAATGTTTAAGGTAAAATATAAAAATATATATATATATATATTAAATATTTATTTTAATAAGAAAAGGTTTGACATTACATATCTCGAAAGAAGTTGTTGAAATAAATATGTAGTTTTTAATTTTGGCCTCTGTGAATTTGAGTTTGACACCCTTGCTCTAAGTTTTCAAATTTTACTCCTTTTATCTTTTGTTCTGTAGAGATTGGCAATTCCAGAGCTGAAATCATCCAAATAATTCTAGTGTACTGCAAAAAACTAAATCTAGTCAAGTTAAGATGACTTGAATTAAGAAAGTTTGATCATGATTTGAGCAAATTTCACTTTGACAAATAAAATGATCTGCCAGTAGATCAAAAGTTTTTGTACTTACAATATGAAAACACATCTTTCTGCACTTAAAATAAGAAAAACAAGAGCTTTTTGCACTTAAAATAAGAAACAAAATCAAATGTTGCTTGAATTAAGAAAAACACATGTAGATAATTTGACTTGTCATGTTGAATCAACTCAAATAAAGTCAAATGTTCTTTATTTAAATCATTTTAACTTACCTAGATATTGTTTTTTTTTCCAGTGTGAAGGTGTGTGGAGTTTAAAAACACAGTGGAGCAATTCCTGTATTACCACATGACATCACAAAGTGGAACAGTGTTTTCAGTTTGAGAGAAGAAGTCTCTTCAAAGTCTAAATGTGCAGGATTTGTGTGTTAAACTTGCGTGAATGAAACAAAACCAAAACACAACTCCAGGTCTGTTTGTGACGAGGAAACAACGTTAGAACATGAATCAGAAAATAGTGGACCCTTTAAGATGTTACTTGTGTCTGGAATGTTACATAGTATGGCATTAAACTTATCTATTTTGCAGTTTTGTTCAATAATATTACAGTGTATTTATTGCTCTAAAACAAATAGAAAAACATAGATCAGTTTAAAGCTACACAACGTTCCAGACAAAGCAACAAGAGACAGCCGCATAGTTCATCTGGGCTAAAACTAGTCTCAGTAACTATAAAGTACTTGCAGTATTCTTGTTGTACGTCCCAGACGAGGTAGCAGCTGCCCCACACATGCTCCCGGTGACTGTCTGCTGATGCGTCTGCCGTCTCTCTTCAGGTCGCTCTCCTCCAGGACTGGCCAAGACTCCTCTGTCCGCCCTGGGACTTAAACCTCACAACCCAGCCGAGATCCAGCTCAACCAGACCGGCGCAGGTACACCCACGTTTTGTTTTGCTTGTTTTTTTTAATAGTATGTGGTAGGGATGTCACAATAACTGAAATATCGTGATATCAGTTTGTCGACTGGACAAAAGTTAGTTTGGTTGAAGACGTTTCGCAGCTCGTCCAAGCTGCTTCTTCAGTTCTGGTCAGACGCTGGTGGACACTTCCTTATATCTGTCTGCAGGGAGGAGCTAACTAACTACTCTGAAACTAACACCTACTTGTTTACAGTTTCTGTTAGTTCAGCCTATTGACCTGTACTGGGTGTGGGGTCTAATTAGCACAACAATTCATGGCCATAATGGAGCTTCCACACCTCTGGACCTGCCCAGACTACACCTGTTGTTCTCTTGTTTGAGAACAATAGGCGAGTTTCATTGTTGACAAAAGCGCGCGTTGCATGCTGGGAATTATTTTGGTCGGCGGCAATAACCACTAATTCAACATGACGGACAGAGTGAGAAAGCACGTAAAGTGTATTGATCCCGGTTATTTACCCACTCTAACGGCAGAGGACCCAAGACCATTTGACCAGAAATTGGTCATAAGCATCGACAGACGCCAAATCACCCTTTTCAACCCCGACAAAAAGTGGACCAAACCAAATTTCTGGTCAGAATCGCCAACTACCTGGACAAATATTCACTATGGCAATATCCACAATGACTTGGTGGAAACTCCTGGGCCATTCACAGCAGAAAAGATGAAAACCTCCAAGAGTCTCGATGTGTTGTTGAACTTGTTGGAGTCCACAGTTTGTTAGGATCTTCTACGTTTGCTCTGCGGATGTTTGAAAGTCGTTTAATTCTCCGCTGGCTGTTCTCTTCACTCAGAATACGAAAAAGACATTTTCCTTCTTCCGTGCTTCTATTTGTGCATCCGATAATGCAGCAGGAATTTACCATTATTGGGGATAAATACGCGAGGTTACGCACTGTGTTTGACGCTATCCTGTTTCTTGCCTCCGACCAAAATATTTCCCAGCATGCAACGCGGGCTTTTAATAACAATGACGTCAGCTGAAACTCGCCTATAGGTGAGAGGATGTAGCAACACAGACGAGAGAGCAACACAGGACCTCAGTCTGCTGTACATCTCCACTTAAAAAGTCACGGGCCACTCATTTGAGGACAGCGAGGTACAGATTTTAGCCAAAGAAAAGAATTGGTTTGAGAGGAGAGTGAAAGAATCCATTTTTGTTAAGAAAGACAATCCTTCTCTAAACAGAAATGGAGATCAGACTCCATCTATCTCCTATTTACAACTCCATCCTCAAACCTAATTCAGAACAAACAAGAGAACAACAGGTGTATCCAGGTCAGGTCCAGAGGTGAGGAAGCTCCATTATGGCCATGAATTGTTATGTTAATTAGACCCCACCCCCTGTACAGGTCAATAGGCCTAAGTAACAAACAGAAACTGTAAACAAGTGTGTGCTAGTTTCAGAGTCGTTAGACTTTTCTCCTCGCCCTGGATTCTACCTGGACGACTGAGGGATTCTTCATACATCGTGATATTGTATCGTCAAAAGTCTCACAATAATATCATGGACTGTCACAATATATTGAATTACAAGTTCCTTTGCAGCAACAGCTTAGAAACTACATATCCCATGAGTCATTTCAGTGCAGACAACATGAAGTTATATTTTTTACCTGAATTCTTGGGATTATGACAGAAATAATTCACACCAAAATCTTGTCAATGTTTTTTAAAGCAAAAAAGAGTCCCATCTACAATTATATCAAAATATCTCAGTAAATATCCTACCGTGATATGAGTCTGGTCAAGCGGTAACGGAGGGAAACTGGGGCAGATTTTTTATGTTCAAATAGTTCTTATTCAGAAACTAGAGGGACTATTGAAATAAGTAAAGTATCAGAATGTAGGAAAGAGTTACACTCCAACAGGGTCAAGTTAAACCTGTGATATTCTTTCAAGTTGTTGACAAAAAATTTTATAACTCATGTCGGTAACAGAGGGAATGAAATATGCAGCACTTTTTGGGCAGTAAATCCAAACAGTGATAACTCTTGGTTCTCACTTCCATATCCTTAACAAACTGGTTTGAATATTTGCTTCATATAGTTTTCTACCATATGGTACAAGATTAGGTTGAAAAACCTCTTACTTTTTGACTCATGAGATTTTTTATTAAGAAAGGTCATGGTAACGGAGGGAAAAGTAACGGAGGGAAAATTAATTGTACAAGCAAGTAGAAGGTGCAGGATTTTACATCATTTGTCAACTTTTTTCTTCTAAATACTTTAATATTACTTCAAAATGAAAGGAAACTATTTCTATAAAATATGTCAGTCCTTCCAAGCAAATTTTTATCATTTTAAATACATTTTTTTTTTAAATCATGAACCTCCATCAACAGTTCAAAGATGGAATAACACAAGATATGATGAAATACATCCATTTATTTACATGATTTGCAGGTCTTTGAAATTTGGGAAATAATTTTTGTTCCATGTTTCATACATGGTCTGTTTAAAACATATGGAACTTTAGAACCAAAAATGGTACAGAAAAAAGGTCAACAGTTTCATAAACTAGAGTACATATGTATCTGTTCAATACATTTTTATATCAGATGCATTAACTTGAATTTTTGGCCTTGTTGTTTACTTCTGCTTGACCGGGCCCATATGCATATTCTGATAATATCGTACCGAGAGATTTGGATATCGTTACATCCCTAGTATTTCGCTATTGTACTATTAACCAATATACCACAGAGTCGATTAGTATGAGTTGGAAACTTAATAGAAACTGGCTGATCAGAAAGCATGAAGCCCAGATCAAAGTGGAAGAGTAAAGCCTCAGGTGAAGCTCTCTGTGTGTGGGAGGAACACTGCTGCACGTGGATCAGATTATTTGCTTTTGTTAAAACCATCTGAGAAAAAAGAACAAGCGTTTTACCAAAGGATAATCCAGGTTTTTCTGTTTTTCCGATATGATACTTGGGCTTTAAGTATGTGCCAATACCTGATATCAATCGACACCAGAGCAGAGACTGAAAACATCATTTAGTTTATTTCAAATGTGTTTTGCTACTGAACCGCTGTGTAAACATTTTTGGGCCAAAATTGGTTTGCAAATCGCCTCTTTACACCAGTTTATTGACTTTATTGGACATGGCATATCGGCTGAATCGATATCTTACAAACCCATATCCAACCCAACAAAATGTTCAATATCGGTGCTGATATCTGATACCTATCATATCAGTGCATCCCAATATCTAGGTGAATTAAAAATGACTTAAATTAAGAACTTGAATTCTTCTTACTTAAGTAAATTGATCTACCAATGGAATAAGTGTGTTTTTCTTAATTCAAGCAAGAGTCAGTTTTGTTTCTTATATTAAGTTCAAAAAGTTTGTATGTTCATATTTTAACTACAAAAAGTCTTGTTCCATTGGCAGATCATTTTATTTGTCAAGTGAAATTTACTCAAATCATGATAAAACTTTCTTAATTCAAGTCATCTTAAAGGGTCCATCTCATGCAAAATCAACTTTTCAGAGATTTCTACCTTCTAAGAGTGATGTGTGGGCCTTGTATATTTCGGCAAAGTGGTTTTTAGATTGATTCGGCGTTTTTTTAACAAATTGCAGCATATTTCTGTCACCCTCCCACGTGACAACGAACTAAAGCTGCTACAACAATGACGCGGCAGATACACCTATGACGCGTTTGACGTAGCACAAAGCGCTTCGCACCTGCCCCCCTCCCCCGCTCCACCACCTCCACTCTGCATCGGCTGACAATTAACACATGAACACCTAAACAAAAGAGACAGCATAAGCTCATTGTTCTCCACTGCAGTGTAACACGATATAATAAGTTTATCTACTAGTGTTTATTAAAGGTTGTACGGAGGATTTTTTTTTTTTAGTTTCAAATTGTCAGTGAAAGTTTAAAATACCATTACAGAGACGCAGCAGCCTTGTAATTATGATGACCAAAAAAAAAAAAAAGAATGAAAATCTATCAACTGTGGACGTAGTGAGGCCAGATAAACATCAGCCAATAGAAAACAAGGCTCCCTCTATATCACAGGTGTCAAACATAAGGCCCGGGGGCCAGATCCGGCCCTCCAAGACCTTTAATGTGGCCCTTCGGTGATTTTCTACTAAAATATTTTTAATTATATTTTCTATAAAAATATTGGTAATTTTCTGCGGTGTTTAGCACAGCAGCGTCTCCAGCGTCTCTGTACGTGGCCCCTCCCACCAGAGCAGCACAAATGAAGACTTGTCTCTTTCCAAACGCTCTTAAAGGACGATCGTTTTGACTGTTGACCGTGACACCCTCATCAGAAAAATGTCCAATGAGAAAAGTGGAGCCGAGTGCAGGATTTTCCAAGAAAAATTGACTTATTCCTATTTACATACAAGTTCATGTTAAAACATTGTGTTTAAATTGAATTTTTCTTAAAGTTTCAGGTTGTTCATAATATTATAATATTATAATAAGAAAGAGTTCATCAATTAAAAAGGATTTCTGTAATAGATTTGTGTTTCTCTGCACAAATATTTGAACTTATTGTTATTTTTTGGGGTTTATATGACATGAGTTTTCTGATCCGGCCCCTTTGGGATCAAAGTAGGTTGGATACGGCCCCCGGACCAAAATGAGTTTGACACCCCTGCTCTATATCTATTGGCTGTTAAGTTGTCAATCAATCTCCCTACGTTTCTAGAGTAACTGATTCGTCGGCGTGCGGGGATTATGTGCAGCAGTTCTTAGAGGCTTTTTCAAACTGTAGCTTCCTCGCAGTTCACACAAAGTTTGTTGTGACGTCGGACGAGAATCTACGACCAGTTCGCCGCAAAAGAAAGTCTGTTTTTGAGGTCGCTGAAAGAAGAAGAAAAGGAGCAAAGCCAAACTGAGGTGATTCTTGGAGATTCCTTCCAGCGATGGTGCGACTGAAGCAGACAAAGGGTCTAAAAACTGACGTGTCGGTCGCTAAATTATTTCTAGACAAGTCACTTCAACAGTAATTCTGAACGTGCACTGGCTGTAAACAAGCGTGATTTCTAGAGTAAAGAGGCAGGAGGAGATGTTTCTACTGAGGGAGCTGTGGAGGAGGAAGGTGGTGTCATGCATGCACAACATTTGAAAAAGGACTGTCACTTTACCAATCAGTAATGTTCAGAGTCGACGTGGTGCTTGAGCTTCGTGCTCCTCAAAGTCTGATTCCGGGTCAACACATGTGGCTGAACGCGCTGTATCGCTATGATGAATAAAAGTTTATTTCTACCACTATCAGGGTGCACGCCTGTCTCCGCCTCCCTCCCTGAGATGGGCGGAGAAAGGGCGGCTCACTCGTCGCCTACGTTACGTTTGGAGGGCGGAGCCTGTGCTTTCTCAGGACGGGCGGGGGGATGAGCAATAGGCGAGTTTCAGCTGACATCATTGTTATTAAAAGCCCGCATTGCATGCTGGGAAATATTTTGGTCAGAGGCAAGAAACAGGATAGCAGTCAAACACAGTGTGTAACCTCGCGTATTTATCCCAGATAATGGTAAATTCCTGCTGCATTATCGGATGCACAAATAGAAGCACGGAAGAAGGAAAATGTCTTTTTCGTATTCTGAGTGAAAAGAACCGCTAACGGTGAATTAAACGACTTTCAAACATTCACAGAGCAAACGTAGAAGATCCTAACAAACCGTGGACTCCAACAAGTTCAACAACACATCGAGACTCTTGGAGGTTTTCATCTTTTCTGCTGTGAATGGCCCAGGAGTTTCCACCAAGTCATTGTGGATATCGCCAAAGTGAATATTTGGCCAGGTAGTTGGTGATTCTGACCAGAAAGATGGTTTGGTCCAGGCTCTGTAGGGGTTGAAAAGGGTGATTTGGCTCCATCAATGCTTATGACCAATTTCTGGTCAAATGGTCTTGGGTCCTCTGCCGTTAGAGTGGGTAAATAACCGGGATCAATATCCTTTACGTGCTTTCTCGCTCCATCCGTCATGTTGAATTAGTGTTTCTTCCCGCCGACCAAAATAATTCCCAGCATGCAATGCCCTCTTTTATCAACAATGAAACTCACCTATAGTCGGCCTTTCATAGTTCCTGGTCTGTGATGCCTCCAAGAAATCAGTACGATTTCATAACTATTGTGTAATGGATGTTCCAAAACCCAAATTGTGCAGAAGATACAATGTGAAAACAGTTATTTTGCATGAGATGGACTCTTTAACTTGATTAGATAAATTTTTTTGCAGTGCGTCCACAATTGCACAATGAGCTTCTCTTTGCACATTAACAAAAAAACAAAAAAAAAGCCTAAATAATCCTGAAGTCAGTATTGCCATGTTTGTTTGGGTTTGTTGAGCGATGGTACCACCCAAACCACACCAGCACCACATGACGGACCTGTCACCGGCAACGCTTTAACTTCAACGCACAACATCACACGTTCTCACAAGTCTTAAAAATCTGGAGAATTCATATTGCAAGGTTTTCAAGGTTGTCAAACATAGAGGGGAAGAATATAGACCTGGAAAGATGTATTTAGGATGATAAAGACATACCGTGGTCTTTGTTTCACATGTGTCTTCTGACTATTTCACTAACGCTCTGCAGAAGATGACAGTGAGTGGGTTGAAGGTAAGATTCCTCTGTGAAGTCGGATTACGTGATTTAGTCATAACAAGCAAACCATCTCCAGTTTAGTCTGAGGGTGCGTTCACACTTGCACAATCACCACGTCAACATCGGGATTTCACTGAGACTAAACTTGGAACCAAACCAGGACCAAACCAGAACCAAACCAATGCCAAACCAGGGCCAAACCAGAACCAAACTAGGACCAAACCAGGACCAAACCAGAACCAAACCAGGACCAAAGCAGAACCAAACCAGAATAAAACCAGGACCAAACCAGAACTAAACCAGAACCAAATCAGGACCAAACCAAGACCAAACCAGGACTTGTGTGAACGCATCCTTAAAGTCATTTATGTTCATTTCAGTTTCTTTTGTCCATTTCGGTTTGATGGCAGTAGTCCAATCAGTACGCACATTTGTCCTTTAAACTTCACAACATTGCATACTTTTATTTTGTTATCGTGTCCTTGGGCAAGACACTTAGCCAGCTTTTCTTATTTCTGATTGGCAGCAACTTCCATCATATTTCATACATTTTATTGAGTATTAGGTTATAAGAATGCCGCACCAGCCAAAAAATGTGTAATGAAGAAGAAAAACATATATAAGTTGCACCGGACTATAAGTCGCACTTTTTGAGGGAAATATATTTTATAAAATCAGAGACCAGGAACCATCACATCTTAAAAGTCAAGTTCTAGTAATAAACAACAGAACAGAACAAGTTTACCAAACTCTCCATCTCACTCCAAATCACTAATCCCGTGTATCTGACATAAACTGCACTCACAAGACTACACCTGCAGGGGGAGCTCCTACAAAAATTACAATTTATACAGAAAAACGTACAAGGAAACATTATATATAAAGATGAAAATGAAAGTTGTGAATCGTGAGTTTAATCTGCCTTTTTACATTTAAATACCACATTTATCGGATTATAAGTCGCTCCAGAGTCTAAGTCGTACCAGCCAAAAAATGGGAAGAAAAAACATATCTAAGTCACACTTTTTGGGGGGGAATTATTCATCCTCGGTGTCACTTTTGAGCAACTCCGCAACCTCCGGAGGTAAAGAGAGCGTCTCTTCCTCTCCCGCGTAGCTGTCGTCAGACTCAGCATCAGTTCCAGTTAGAATTTTCTGAATCCCGACAGGATGGTTTCGGTGTCACTGAAGTCCAGGCTTTGTCCATCCATCTAGTGACTTCAGTAAAGTTGCAGGGTGCATCCTCCTGGTTGCCGTGAAGCTGTGTTCTCCAGTGACCGCTTTCCGCCAGTTCCTCACAAGTTTCTCGCTTACTCCAAACTTTCTTTCTGCAGCTCAGTTATCATTTTCGGCTGAATATTTCATGACTTGCAGCAGGACAGAGGCTCTTTCTGCAGGAGACATGTGCAGTAGAGTGAAGTGACAGTGGTACAGGAGGAACAGGAGCAGCAGATACTGACACACAAGACTAGAACCTCTCACCACTTCCCTGTGAACATTTTAATATATAAGTCACACCAGAGTATAAGTCGCAGGAAACATCCAAACCTTGAAAAAAGTGCGACTTATAATTCAAAAAATACGGCACTACTACTGCTTGAGTTCCTGGTAGAGGTCATTTTATTTGTCTAATCTTACACAGAAGTTAAAATCAGACAAACAAAAATTCATGGCAATAGCATTATTTTGTTATTTTGTCACAAGTTTTTAATGATTTCTTCTCAATCCTTCTTCCAGCTCCCAGGAGTTACGTCGAATCAGTGGCTCGATCGGCCACAGCAGCGGGCCCGGAGCCCCCCTCGTCTCCTCGAAGCGTGAGTCCCCCGGTGGACACTACAGGCACTGCGGCGAAAGCACCGAGCGTCAGCCAATCGGAGGGCAGTATCGCTAAAGCCCTGCCCATCAGCCAATCAGAGGAGATCATCAAAAAACCGAGCAGTCCTGTGCTGGAACGGCATTCTCCGTTTTCACAGGTAAGGCAAAGAAATACATTAAGAGCTTATATGTAAATCTGAGTAAGGTTGTGATTCGGCTCTGTCTGTAGTTGAGTATAAAATTAATTTTCGTAAACTCTTGAATAAGTCCAGTCATACATAGAATGTATTGTGCATATTTTATCCATCAGAATATGAATTGAACTGTAACGACATCAAGAATTGCCATCATGAAATAAAAAGTTATGATCAGGCTTTCTTCAGTACGAATATGAACTTAGACGTGACTCCACTGTCAAAAATACGTCACTACTTCACAGGCAGAAGAATCATCGATTGAGATGCTGGACTTTAGTGCCGCATACGGACTGAACCGGGACTAAACCAGGACTGAATCAGGACTAAAACAGGACAAAACAAAGTCTAAACCAGGACTAAACCAAAACTGAATCAGGTCTAAACCATCACTAAACCAGGAGTAAACCAGGACCAATTTTGGACTTGAGAGAGAGGGAGAACCCTGAGCCCACGGAGCAGGGTGTCCACAAAGCGCGATTGGGTGACTGCTGCGCTTTTTCCCTGAGGGGTGCAGAATTCTGCGCTGGTCCTTTTGCCTGCTATCACCCGATGGTTTACACGGGCGCACCTCTGGGCCCATCCCAACAATCAGTCCTGGTTCAGTCCTGGTTCAGTCCTGTTTTACTCCGAGTTCAGTCCAGATGCAGCTCAAAAGTGCGGCTTCTCAGTTGATGTTTCTACTGCCTGTGAGGTCTTGTCGAGTTGTGTCTGTGAATTCGTATTCGCACTGAAGAAATTTTCTTTTTGTGATTGTAACTGTTGATGTCGTAACGTTTCAATTTGTATTCTGATAAAAATAAAAAAAAACACAAAATGCATTTTATTTACGATTTTATTTTATCATGTGAGAGTTTACAAATATTTAACTCAACTACAGCCAAATATGCACACATTTCTATCCTCTGCACACAAATACTTCTGAACGCTTTCTTACTCCATACAATATTACTCATACTTATCTAATACATTTCCCCCTCCCCCCGCACAGCCCATCAGCCAATCAGAGGAGACCGGCTCCAAACCCAGAGGGGTGACTCCTCCAGGGGGCAGCACTGAACCGCGACGGGGCCCCAGCCCCGCCCACTCCCTGAACCCGCCTCTGTCCAGCAGCAGTCCCATTCAGAGCATCCGAGGGTGAGTCTGAGACGGTTTAAGGAGTCTGTATCATACATTATCTGGTGTTTAAAGGTGCACCATGTAACTTTCCTGGTGGAGGCTCCGTCACCTGTTTGGAATGTTCCACAGTGTGACATTAAACAGCTCTATTTTACATTTATTAAATTACAGATGGTTTTATAGCTCAAAAACACCTAGAAAAATAAACACTCTGTGAGCGGGGTCACCTCTCCACAGATCTGACCTGTAACTTGGTCTGGTTTGGTCTCCATGAAGATAGAAAGATTTAATGCCATACTGTGAAACATTCCAGACAACGCAATAACATCTGAAACTCAAAAAAAGTTACCGCAATCACATCTGAACCTGTGTCTCCAGAGTCTTAAACTGCAGATAGAGACACATCCAAGTTTGTCTCATTCTCAGGTTATGGACTTGGTCTTGTGAGTGCAGTTTGGGACAGATCCACAGAGAGATGTAATAGTTTTGAGAGCTTTTCTTCAGCAGGACTTGCCTTTAGTTGTCCAAGAATGACAAACTATAGAAACTATGTTGTTTTAAAGGGCCTATATTACCCTAGTTTCTGAACTTTGATATCATTTTGTTTCCTGAGCAGAAACATGGAACTGGAGTTGTGCTTTCAAAATTTGACTCACATCAAAAGACCAATTCATGACATCACAAGGTGGAACAGAGCATTTTGAGCTTTGGTGATGTAGACAGACTAATAAACCAGGATTACTCAAGTATGTGTGAGCTACCATATTTACCTGACAGGCCTTAATTCCAAATACCATGTAAACCGAAGATCATGTAAACACTTAATTCCTAATGAAAATGTTTATTCAGAATTAAATTTAATTCCGATTGGACATTTTCACATATTCTGGCAATGTCCCAAGATCGCCCCTATTGGACAGAGACCATTAAAAACTTTAAGGTTATTACAGGACTGCAAATGGAGGAAAATTTTAGTGTGTTTTATTTGAGAAACATACCAACTGGGCTGAAAAAGAAAGACCGATACCTTCTTCAGATGCTACAAGCATCCAGCAAAAGGCGATCACGTGAAAACGGCTACAGGACAAACCTACTACTGTTTCAGAATGGGTTGAAATAATCGAAACGAAATTCAGGTTATGGAGTGAATAAAATTTTTCTTGAGACACTGCTCAGATAAAGGAGAACTGTACTGGAAAAAGTGGAAATTTTACAATCAAAACAAATCCTTATGTAAAATTTTTATACATCTTTGCAGATGTCGCTTGATGGCCTCTTATATTATTATTATTATTTTTTGGTTGGTCTGACGATTTATTGTGTAATCTGTGTATGTATATATGTGATTTACAAAATTAAAATGTTCTAAAGAAAAAAAAAAAATCGAAGTAAGTAAGTGGGTGGTTTATTCCGATTTTAAAGTCGAATTAATTTATTCCAATTTTATTTCTCTCTAGCAACTAGGTCAGGAATCAGAATACAATAGATGGAAGTGGAAGTGCGAGTTCGGGCACCAGCCAATCAACGAAGAGACATATATTCTGTGTTGTCAACAATTACCAAGATCGAGGATTTAAACCCAGAATAAAGAGAATGTTTGGTGAATTTCATCAAGGGGAAAGACATTATTGCCCTTCTTCCTACGGGATTATGGAAAAGCAAAATATAGCAGTTAGCCCCGTTAACAGTGCATTACATACGTCACGACCAAATAGTAGCGATTGGTTAAAAGACAAAAAGTACCCGCTTGTGAGAGTGAGCTGACGTAGAGAGCCTCAGACTCAGTTTGTCTTCTTCCTCCCTTCTCCGATGCTCTTCCCTTCTCCTCCTCAGCTGACAGACGTAAAGTGTGATGAGAGAATTCTCCAGCTGCTGCACAATTATCATTGGAACGACTGCGAAAAAAGTTTGGCTCATGTTTGTGTCCTTGGCGTAACGACAAACTGAGATGACTGAAAATCCGGTAGCAGCTGAAGTGTGTGTTTTCTTCCGGTCGACGTAAATATGTTCATGTCTCTGTCCAATCAGAACCTTCCCCACCCCCAGACATTGAGCGTTGAGTGATTTAACGTGTTTTCCATGTAAACCTTAATTCGGAATTATTATTTCGGAATTAAAAATCCTCATGTAAACGTGGCCAATGAAACAAAACACAACTCCAGGTCTGTTTTTGAGGAGGTAACAACTTTATAACACGACTTAAAGGTCACAAGAGTCCATTTTGTGTAACTTAGGACCTTTAACCAAAGATCATGTCTTGTTTTGCAGGGAGCTTCCTTCAGTTGAAAGCGGCCTCAGCACTCCGTCCCAGCCCACTACAGACTCTGGTTTCCGCTCCCAGACCACAGAGAGCTACTACCAGACCCCCACCCCAAACTACACCCCCACCTACACCCCCACCTACCTGCCCGGGACAACACCGTTACCCCCGTACCTCCACCAAGCCACGCCCACTTACCTGGACTCCTCTCTCCCCTCCTACCTGGGCTCCACCTCCCCTCCCGTCTCTTACCCGGGCCAGAGCGCTATCCTGGGCACATACTCCGACTCTCCTCCCCCTAACCTGGAGCCAGTGACCCACGGGAGCCCCCAGCCTCTGCACAGGCTGGTCCCTGGCATGCACCCATCGCTCCAGTCTGCGCAGTCCAATGGGTTTGATAATATAGTTGTGGGGGGCAGTCCCGTGTTTGGGCGCAGGCTTTCCCAAACGAGCCAGAGGAGTCCAGTTCTGAGCAGGCAGGGGTCGTTCGGACAGACCCTCCAGAGCAGCCCTGTGCTGGGGAGGCATCCTTCCATTTCACAGGTGAGTGACAAAAGACAATATCTGCTTCAGTAACAAAAACACAAACACAGACTGACACAGCTTGCAAACTTTTCACACCAAAGAAAAGGCGTCCTGAGAACCATAAGGTCTTAACCAGGTCTATAACAGGACTATTCCAGAGCTAAAACTGGACTACAGCAATTCCACTGCACACTTTAAAATCTAATAAGTTAACCTAAAAACTTAGGAAACCTCGAAAAATTTGACTACGGTGGACTGTGAATCTAAAGCGGAGTTTCCTCAGTGTACTATAAATTCCTCTTTTATCTAACTAGACAAGTACCCAGGCTGGCGCGACCTAGTGACTCTGCTCAATTTCACTTCTCTCCAGCGACTAGGTCAGAAATCAGAATACACTAGACCAGGGGTGTCAAACTCAAATTCACAGAGGCCAAAATTTAAAACTGGGACTAAGTTGTGGGCCAAACTAAATATTTATTGAAAAATTCAGCAACATCTGCATGTTTTCTCTTCTGTCAAGATATGTAATGTTAAACCTTTTTTTTATTAAAACAAATGTTTAATAATAGTTTTGTGTAAACATTGGATCCAGAAGAAGCATAACATAAAATAATAACAACATTTAAAAAAAAAATCATGTCTCTATAGTCTATCTGTAGCCGGCGGGCAGCTCTAATACATGTTTGATATGATCTCGCGGGTCCACGTACAATTATATCATGGGCCAAATTTGGCCGCCGGGCCTGAGTTTGACGTGACTGCACTAGATGGTTTGAATGAACCCCGGAAGTGCAAGTTTGGGCACCAGCCAATCAGAAAAGAGCCATATATTCTGTGTTGGCAATGATTCCTGAGATCGAGGATTTAAAGTCAGAATAAAGAGAATGTTTTATCAAGGGGAAAGACGTTATTGTCCTTCTTAATACAGGATTTGGGAAAAGCTTAATATACCAGTTAGTCCTGTTATCCAAAAAAGTGGATAAAAGTGGCTCTCAGGAGGCTTTCACAGGTTTGATTTGGTGCAGATTAAAGAACAGGACATCTCCTGTGACGTGAGCACTAACTGGTCTTGATTCTGCCCAGCACGCACTTTTTATCTAAACCAGTCTCCGTAATGTGCTGAGTCTGAACAAAAGTAAAGTCAAGAGTAAGCATGATCAAAATGTGTTTAAACAACATCACAAAACTGGTTACCATCATACCAAAAAAAATGTTTTTACAATTATGATTCAGTGCAGGGAAATACTGACTACAAAATTTGTTCAAGAATTCTATGCTTTTCAGGACACGTTTGTAGAGGTCTAAAGTACATACAGGGTCTAAACCTTTTATTGTTTTATTATTCACATTGCACTTCTGATCGAATCTTTAAATCTTATGTTTATGAATATACATATGATCAGAGTTGTGGTTTGTATAGGCCAAGTTAAACTATGAGGTTTGACTTAATTTGCAAAAACAGTGCCAATGAAAACTACAATAAGGCTTGGAACTTTCTCTGTCCAAATCTCAAAGACGTAGGTTTGCGTCGGGACGGTGGGGACATGTCACAACCAATATCTGGAGAAGACAAAATAGTCCCTACCAATATTTGCCATTTTATTTGAATAAACAAAAATAAATGTTTTCAGATATTTTATTTATTCTGGTATATATTCCAAACTTCATAGTATTAATTGAACACGTTTTAGTTCACATTTTGTTTATTAGACATTCTGAGACGTATTTAGTGACATGACGACAGGGTTACTCCCGCCGCAATTTCATTGGCTGCAACAGAGTGAGTGATGTCATTAGTGGAGCCAGGAGCCTAAACTGGGGAAGTGGCAGGACAGGGCCGCACCTGAAGATGTCGGCTTGAGCAGCATGAGTGAAGACGCTGCACCAAACTTTGAAAAACTTCTCAAAGGAACTTACTTGGCTTCATCTTCAGTTAAACTCGACTTATAATGAGTTGCCGTGGAAAAAGAGCAACTATCACCACAAGTGCACCTCCCAAACGGAGCCCTACTCGTGCGCTGTGAGACCCCGACTCTACTGACAATATTCCCATGAGATTCATTTGGTCTTCCGATATTTTATGTTATTAGGTTCTTTATTCAGACCTAGAGTTTTGTTTCATACCTGACAGTTTCGACTGCTCATTAGCGCTCTTCCTCGGGGTGGTCAAAGATGTCTACCTTATTCGTGGTGCATCTTATTCTTTCTTTCAGCAGTGCGAGTCGTGCTCCTTTTACAATTTTCTCCGCATTCTGGGTTGGGATGGGATTCTTGAGGTCCAAGCTGGTGTGGTGAGGTGTAATTCCCTCGTCCCGGCAACACAGGTTGAATCGGAGATGGTTACGGAAATATGCCCTTTTTGATTCCAGTTGTTCTAATTTCCGGAACTCCTTGACACATTGTTGTCCATGACCTGAGCGTACATCACCCAGAAGGAGCACACCTCGCACTGCTGAAAGAAAGAATAAGATGCACCACGAATAAGGTAGACATCACATGACCACTCTGAGGAGGAGCGTTAGTGAGCAGTCGAAACTGTCAGCTATGAAAACAAACTCTTGGTTTGAAAAAAGAACCTAATAACATATCTACTGACAATATTCCATGGAAAAATGTACGGACTAGGGATGAGCATGATTAGTCGACTAATCGATAATTGATCATTAAGAATTTCGTTGATTACGTTCATTTCTAATCGACAAACTGAATTTAGGTTTCTCTGCGTAGATATGAAGCTGCGTCTGACACAAACACTGGAGTTGCGGCCTCAGTCCCACGTTTGGGCTCTGGCATCTCCTTGGAGACACTGTACCTCTCAGTGAGTGTGTTTACATGCACATCTGTATCCCAGTTTCGTCGTGGTGCATGTTTACACAGTATCCCAGCTACTGCAACATAAAGAGCTGCGCTAAACCTGCACATGTACGATCTGTGAAAACATCGCAACACACAGAACAGACTCACCATCAGCATCAGCACCCCTCTGTCACAGAGAGAACACTCATATTCCACTGAGTCATGTCCTTTAGTCCGAAAAAAGCTGAACCGCATCAGTGCACATGAGCATTTTTATATTTTTTTTCTTCGCTTAGTTTATGCAAATGAACCACGTGGTTTTAAGTTTCTAATAATGATAAAACAATAAATTACTTTTACTTACGTTTCCTTTACTTTTCACGTTGTAGTTCTTCTTTACTTGCCGCTTGATCGGCCCGTCGATAAATAGAGTCCCGCGGTCACTTTCATTGTGGCTTTTTAATGTGTTGCGGCTTTTTAATATGTTGCGGCATTTGCGTTTGTGTTGTGGCGTTTGTATTTGTTGCGGCGCTTGCATTAAAATAGAGTCCTGTGTTCATTTCCGTTGTGGCTTTTTTTGGTGTGTTGTGGGTTTTTGTCGTGTTGTCGCATTTGTATTTGTTGCGGCGTTTGCGTTTGTTGTGACATCTCACGGCTTCCGTACAAAACTGCATTAAACACATTATAATGTCAAACAGGTTGATGTGTCTCTGTGTGGTCATGGTTTATATGTTGTAAAGTTGAGTTTATTTATGCAGATTAGTAATAGTAATAATAATGATGATACTTACATAAAAACGTTAATGATCAATCGAAAATTGATAATTCTCCCATCAATGGATTAATAAAATTTCATCGAATGCCCATCCCTAGTACGGACATGATCTCACAAATATCTCATCACCAACAAGCAAAGGGAAGTCTGCTACAAACCTCTACATCGCTGTTATCTGCTAAAGAGTTGAGCTGAGACCAAACCTACTCCCTCGCCAAACCTCCATCCATCTCAGTGCAAAGAGATATTATTCATCACACTAGCTCCATTAACTCGACTGACTAATGTATGATTTGTGTGCAGGTGTCTCAGAGGAGCCCGAGTCTGGACCGCCACCCCATGCACAGCGGCTACACGACCCCCGACCCCGACCGCCACGGTAACCTGTCGCGTCAGAGCAGCTCGTCGGGGTACCAGGGCCCCCCCACCCCGTGCTTCCCTCTGTCCTCGGGCGGGCTGCAGGAGGGAGGGTTCAGGCAGGCCAGCCCCGCCCCAGCCCTCCAGCCTCTGCTCCCGGAGAAGCGGCGCATGTCGAGCGGGGACCGGCCCGGCGCGTCTCTGAGCTACAGCAACACTCTGAACGGCAGGAGCCCGGGCGGGAGGGACGGGGCCGCTCCAGGGGGCACTCCGGCGGGACAGGGCTACTTCCACACGCTGTCCGACTTCTCCAGGTTTCACATGTTTGGTAAGGATCGGATTTTTATTTTCAGAGTGCACCTATAAAGTCAACTGGCTAACAGAATTTTCCAGCGAATACTGAAGCTGATTGGTCGAAGTGTCACAACAGCGGAACTCTTAAGTCCAACTGAGAGAAAAGCACAGACATTTTTCCCTCCACAAATGCACAAAGAGTTTCCCTCTGCATGTTTTTCACAAACACATCCATATACCCTATTATTCGTACTGTAAGGCACACCAGATTACAAGGCGTAATATCAATAAAGTTGAATTCTTTCATCTATTTTCATGCATAAGGTGCACTGAATTATAAGGTGCATTAAGTGAAACAAACAGACGACACTTGAGGCTGATCCTTAACCCTGGCATTTATGATCCATTGGCAGATCATGGCATAATTTGCCCGGCGTTGCCTCACTGTCTTGGTGAATGTGGATTATGAATGTGAATGTGGGAGGATAATTAAAGTGTTTTGTTTTTTTTTTGTTCCTTCGAGGACAACTCAAATATACATTGAGTAATAATGTGTTCAATGCAGCTTTGTGCACATTTGTTTATGTTTTACAGAAACAAATGTTAAAACCACATGGTAAATTTGCATAAACTATAAGCTCTGAAAAAACAGCTCGCTCCTTGTGCGATGATGCGTCAGTTTCTGTCAGACTAAAGGACACAACTCCACAAGATTCCTGACTACAGCAGCCATAATGCTTCATCAATCTATCAAGCGGTGCGACTTTGTAGTTTACCAAAGTCGTACTGAAACATTTTGACAGATTACTCAGCGCTGTGTACCACATACAATCGGTTCGAGGTCAATAAGCTCAACCAGAATTAATACATAAGATGCACCGGATTATAAGGCACACTGTACAGTTTTGAGAAAATTAAAGGATTTTAAGTGCCAGAGACAGATATTTGAGGTTAAAATGATATGGGTGTGTTCTAGAGGAGCCTGAATCTCAACACAAACTAATAAAAATTACTTGAAAGATACAGAAAAAATTTTTTTTTTTTTTCATGCACATAATTTGAGACTTTTGCTGTCAAAAATGACATTTAAGGGGTTAAAATTTTCAAAATATGATAGGTATATTATATTATATTATTATTGTATATTATTTGTTATGTATGATTAGGGCAGAAGTAAATAAAGACACTGATATATAAAGCCTGGCCTAGCAGGCTCGACAGTTGCTCTGAGACACTTGTCTCTATAATGATAATGTTTTTGTTATGTGTTATTTGTTGCGTGTTACGTGTTTTTAAAGTGTAATATGTATGTGTCCTGTAGATGGCAGTCCTGAGAGCCGTTTGAACGTGAAGTTTGTCCAGGACACGTCCAAGTTCTGGTACAAACCAGAGATCTCCAGAGACCAGGGTAAGACCATACATACTGTGTGGCTGTGATTCTAGAATGTGCACAGTATTTTATGTATTTGTCTAATATATGTCTACTAATATAGTTCAACATGAGCTGGAGACAGGTCAGAATTCTCAGGTGGAGTTTACTGTGTGACTGCCTGATTGCAGATGTTTTAACGTGGTTTATAGTTCACATCTCTGTTCCCACAGGAAACAAAAACTGTCACAAAGTTCAACAAGCCAAGTTTGTGGAGCCAATCCCAAACAAATAATGAGAAGGTTCAACATTTGTAAATCATATTGTTTTAGCTGAAGTTGTGACATCCTAAAACTCTTGAAAGTGAACGTGACATATTCGATTTCCACTTGAGATTAGATGTATCATTCTTACTTGACGTCAGTTCTGGTTCCTCCCCCTCATGTTCCTGTAAGTCCATATGAAGGCCTCTTAAAAAGCCTCTGCCTTGGTACAATATTTATGAATGAGAGCATTGTGTTTCTAATTGAACCTGGTTGTAGTTAAACCCGAGTAACTGTCTGTTTCCTCTCCCTCTGCACCACCGACATTTTGGATGATCTCACGTTAAATGGAATCGTGTGGTTTAGTGTGAATGACGTCATATTATGCACCTTGTTTTTATAATGTTTACTGACAATGTAAGGACTAAACCAGGATCTGGACCAGGACTGACGCAGGACTAGACTAAGATCTGAACAAAAACACGACGAAAACAGACGTCAAATTAAGACTGAACCAGGACTGCCATTGATCCCAAATTGAACCAAATCTTTACCAGGACTGAACCAGGTCTTTATTAGGACAAAACCAGGTCTCAACCAGGTCCAAACTGAATCTACTGAATCTATTCCAGGGCTTAAATAGGTATTTTGGTCTTAACTTGGCTTAAACTATGACTAAAGTGTGTCTTTACAAGGAAAAAAACAAACAAAACAAAACTCATCAAACCAAGAATAAACTGGGCCTAAACAAGAACTAAACCAGGTTTTAACCAGGTCTAAACCAGTATAGAACCTTAGGACTGCTCTTGGACTAAACAAGGACAAAATTAGAACTAATCCAGGACTAAACCAATATTAAACAAAAACTAAATCAGAACTGACTAGAACTAAAACAGATCTGAACCAAATCTAAACCAGACTCAAACCAGAGTTAAATTAGGACTAAACCAGGACTAAACCATGACTAAACCAAGACTGAACCAGGAAGAAACCAGGACGAAAGCAGGACTAAACAAGAACTAAACCAGTATGAAACCAGAACTTAACCAGGTTTTAACCAGGTCTAAACCAGTATACAACCTTAGGACCTTGGACTAAACCAGGACAAAATCAGAACTAATCCAGGACTAAACCAATACTAAACTAAAATTAAACCAAATGTAAATCAGAACTGACCAGGACTAAAACAGATCTAAACTAGATCTAAACCAGAACTAAATTAGTATTAAACCAGGATGAAACAAGAACTAAACCAGGACAAACCAGGACTAAACCAGGACTAAACAAGAACTAAACCAGGACTAAACCAAGACTAAACCAGGATAAAACCAGGACGAAACCAGCACTTAACAAGAACTAAACAGGACTAAACCAGGACAAAACCAGGACTAAACAAGAACTAGACCAGAACTAAACAGGACAAAACCAGGACTAAACAAGAACTAAACCAGGACTAAACAGAACTAAACCAGGACTAAACAAGAACTAAACCAGGACCAAAACAGGACTAAACCAGAACAAAACCAGGACTAAACAAGAACTAGACCAGGACTAAACAAGAACTAAACCAGAACTAAAACCAGGACAAAACCAGGACTAAACCAGAACAAAACCAGGACTAAACAAGAACTAAACCAGGACTAAACAAGAACTAAACCAAGAACAAAACCAGGACTAAACAAGAACTAAACCAAGACAAAACCAGGACTAAACAAGAACTAAACAGGACAAAACCAGGACTAAACCAGAACAAAACCAGGACTAAACAAGAACTAAACCAAGACAAAACCAGGACTAAACCAGAACAAAACCAGGACTAAACCAGGACTAAACCAGTCTTTGCGGGGCTAGAGCAGGTCTTTGTGGCTGTTTGAACAGTGTGTCCCTGGATGACATCATCGTGTGTGGGGTTTTCACAGAGGCTCAGCTCCAAACACATGGAGCCCATTAGGAACATGTGCACGTCCTCCTCCTGGTCAACCGTTCCATCTCACTCAGAACAGCCCCCGTTCACATCAGACGCTGTGTCCGTCATCTGCTTGTTTCTATGGAGACGTCATTGCTCTGCCTGGAATGTTCCACAGTGTGACATTAAACAGTCACTTGGTCCGGTTTAGTCTCCTTAAAGACATTCCAAACAAAGCAATGACATCTCCATGGAGAAAATCATTTGACGGACCCTCCAGCAGGAAAGTTCCGCAGTGCACCTTTAAACGTCCCGTGTGTGCTCTGTTTTCAGCCATCGCCCTGCTGAGGGAGAGGGAGCCCGGCGCGTTCGTGATCAGAGACAGTCACTCGTTTAAAGGAGCGTACGGGCTCGCCATGAAGGTGGCCTCTCCCCCTCCCACCGTGCACCCCGCCAAGAAAGGTACCTGCATTTATTTACATTTTTTTATGTATTTATTTTTATGTTTACCGTATTTTCCGCACTACAGATTATAAGGCGCACGTCACTGAATGGTTTATTTTCGAACTTTTTTCACATATAAACCGCACCAGGCTATAAGGCGCATTAAACGAAACACAACAGTTGGATAAGTCAGTCAAACTTAATTTAACGCGTTCACAATAACTCTCAACTTTGTTTAATTGTAACACATAAATAAATACTGTCTGAGTATTCAAAATAATTGTTGTCATAATTGTTCAAACAGTGATGCTCCGACAATCCATCAAGCGGTGCGTCTTCGTAGTTTACCAAAGTCGTACTAAAACATTTTGACAGATTTCTGAGCACCGTGTACCACATAAAATCGGTTCGAGGTCAGTTAAGCACAACCAGAATTAATACATAAGACGCACCGTATTATAAGGCACACTGTCCAGTTTTGAGAAAATTGAAGGATTTTAAGTGTCAGTGACAGATATTTTAGGTTAGGTTTAAGGTTTAAGGTGCATTAAATGAAGTGCAACAGTTAGATAAGTCAGTCAAACTTTATTTAACACGTTCACAGTAACTCTCAACTTTGTTTAATTGTAACACGTAAAAAAAATACTGTCTGAGACGCTAAATTGTTTCAGATTTCTGAGCACCGTGTACCACATAAAATCAGTTCGAGGTCAGTTAAGCACAACCAGAATTAATACATAAAACACATCCAGTTTTGAGAAAATTAAAGTGCCAGAGACAGATATTTTAGGGTTAGGTTTAAGGTGCATTAAATGAAACACAACAGTTAGATAAGTCAGTCAAACTTTGTTCAATTGTAACTTCTCTGGCAGTTCAGTGATGATTCTGGTCTTGGTGAAAGCTCGGACCACAGTTGATACTGATCCTTTGTCCAGGCGTCCACGATCCGTTGGCAAATCGTGGCGTAAGTCACTCGGCGCTGTCTCCTTGTCTTGGTGAATGTGTGTTCTCCTTCTCTCATCCACTGCTCCCACGCAGCTCACACCTTCACTTTATAACAGCCTTGAGTTTAAAGTGGGTGTTGTAAGCGTGTGTCTTGACAGGTGCATTTTGATATTAAAAGGAATCACAGTCTGTATTACTCCTGATGCTCCTGACTATGGGAGCCGTAATGCTGCAAGTGGAGCGGCTTTGTAGTTTACTAAAGTCGTACTGAGACACCCCAATAAATTCATACACAAGGCGCTCTGGATTATAAGGCACGCAGTCGTTTTTTGATGAAATTAAGGCTTTTAAGTGCACCCCATAGTGTGGAAAATAGTGTATTTTGATTTTTATAGGTATTTTTATATGTATATTTATTTTTATTATATTTATTTAGATTTTTATATTTATTTGGATTTTTTATTTGGATTTATTTTATTGATCATGCTGTTACATTTCCTTGGCATCAATTTAATAAAGGAGAACAACAACAAAATCTGACAATTCACACAATCATCACACATTCACACATCCGCACTGTAAACCCAAATGTAAATTTGTCTATTTTATTCAGTTTTATGTATATATATATATATATATATTTTTTTTATGAAAAACCATGTATTCAGGCTTGCCTCTACACAGATCTGACCTGTAAGTTGGCTTAAGTTTAATGCCATACTATGGAACATTCATAAGTATCACCTTCACCAGAAAAGTTATGCATTGCTTCTTTATTTTTATATATATATATATATATATTATTTTTTTTTCTATTGTTTTATGTTCTATTGCTACAGCACATGACTATTTTTAATACTTCAATACTTTTTTTATTTAAATCCTTGTGTTTGTGTTTGTAGGAGACTTGAGTAATGAGCTGGTGAGGCACTTCCTGATCGAGAGCAGCCCCAAAGGAGTCAAGCTGAAGGGCTGCCCCAACGAGCCGTACTTCGGTCAGAACTCACACACACTTATTTATATTTAAAATGTATTAAATATATTTTTAAATCATATATTTTTGTGTTTCTGTGTATTCCCATGTAGGCTGTCTGTCTGCTCTGGTGTACCAACACGCCATCACCCCCCTGGCCCTGCCCTGCAAACTGCTCATACCCCCCTCAGGTACACACTGCCCCCTACTGGTACAAACTGCTCATACCACCTTCAAGTACTACACTTTACTCTACTGTGGTCACATACTGCCCCCTACTGACACAAACTGCTCATACCCCCTTCAAGTACTGCATTAAACTCTACTGTGGTCACATACTGCCCCCTAGTGGTACAAAGTATTATAACAACAGCCAGTGGTTCTTCAAACTGAAAGCCTGATCTCGTGTGATGTCTGAAGTTGAGCAGGTTGGGTCTGGTTAGTTGTTGGATTGGGGACCACTGAGAAAACCAAGCGTCACAGAGAGACAGCAGTGACTCAAACTGCAACCTGTTGTTGTGTCCTTTGGCAAATCACTGTGTGCTGGTCGTAAAAGGGACCAGTGGAGCAACAAATACAGCAGATATTTGTTGGAAAGTTCATTTTCTACATGAACTAGTTCAAAGTTCAGATTACAAATTCCAAAATGAACTGGTTCATTCATAGTTCATAATTGTTTATAGTTAATAGTCCAACAATTAACGAGTTCACCATTCTTTTCTGTTTTTCCAATACGTTGCTGCGAGCTGTTATTTTACAACAATATTTTTTGAACAGTGAAACTAGGTGTTAGATTTCATCTTCATATAAAAGGTTGAATCCTTTTACAACCAGAGTTCACATGGGGGTTTAGGGAACAGCATTTCCCCAGTGTTGCTGTGTGTTCAGTCCACACAGGTTTCACCCTGACAGTACAGATGTTAAGTCTTAAACCAGGTCTAAATCTGGACTAGATCTGAACTTAACCAGGACTATAATAGGTCTAAATCTGGACTATACCTGAACTCAATCATGTCTACACCGGGTCTAAGCCTGGACTATACTTGAACTCAGCCAGGTCTATATCAGGTCTAAATCTGGACTATACCTGAACTCAATCATGTCTACACCGGGTCTAAGCCTGGACTATACCTGAACTCAATCAGGACTATATCAGGTCTAAATCTGGCCTAGATCTGAACTTAACCAGATGTATACCAGGTCTAAGTTTCAACTATACTTCAATTCGCCAGGTCTTTACCGGGTCTAAATCTGGACTATACCTGAACTCAACCAGGTTTATACCAGGTCTAAATCTGGATTATTTGTCTGTGCAGTTTGTATTTACGGTTACCGACCCCTGGTATACACCACAGACTGTATATATGAGTGGACATAGCTAAAGCCGCCGTGTGCCAAATAAGAAGTTCTCCAGGAGGCTCTTCTGGCTCCTTCTGACTCTGGCTCCAACTGACTTACATTAGGATCTTGTGGCTCCTCTCTCTGTAAGTGCTGCTGTGAGTCTTGCCATTTTGGTCTTAAAATGTAAAAAAAAAATCCTATTCATAACACAGAGTCTGGCTCCAGATTCGCTCCTGTAACCGTGAGCATCGTGAGCCTCATTTGAGCGGAGCTGAACACTGGGTGACTTCACACTCACTTAGTCCACTTCTTTCATACAGTCTGTGGTTTACACGAACGCCAGGTTTAAATCCTCGCCTCCTAGTGTCGACACAGATCCATAAATCAAAAACGATGACGACAAGGCAACGGTGATATTGTGTGTTGAGTCGATGCAGAACTGTAATTCTCCCTTTAGTCCTGGTTTAGTCCTGGTTTAGACCTGGTTTGGTCCTGGTTAGTCCTGGTTTAGACCTGGTTTAGTCCTGGTTTAGTCCTGGTTTGGTCCTGGTTTAGCTCAGTTGTCTTTAAAAAGTACAAAGTTTACATTGAACAAAATTTTCACTGTATCATCTAAAAATTGATAAAAACAACTTGCGCTGGATTAAGTTTATGACTCATTCTTTTTACATCAAATTACTGAAAGTAACTAAGTAACTTTTACTCAAATTACATTTTAAAGTAAGTACTTAAAGTAGCTTTTAGATGGTTACTTTTACTTTTCTTGATTAGGAATTGAGCAAAGGAAAGATCTTTTTACTTAATTACAGTTTTTCAGTACTTTTTCCACCTCTGGTAAAAACATGAGGAAAAAAAAGATAATTTTCAAGATGTGTGGACAATCTTGTGGCTATTTTGTCTCGGATTTGAACACTGGAACATATCTGGGGACACACTAAGATCATAGTCATAGAATTAAAAACAAAATCATACATATAGTTCCCTTAAATTATTGTGATGTGTCAATTTCTAACTAATCTTTCTTTCTAGATCTGATTGAGGAGGCTCCAGAAGTGGCCACACCCAACGCCGTCACCAACCAGCTCAAACAAGGAGCAGGTACGATCACTCCACGAGCATTTACAAAGACTCTTTTAAATGACATGTTTCTAAAAGTCTATTTGTTATCCAGCGCCCCGAGCGTCTGCTGATTCTCATGGTAAACATTTAATTCGCTGCATAGTTCATGTGGAATGTGCATCCTCCATTTCGTCTCCCGTCTTCAGATCCGGTGTCTGTTTCTCGAGTGTATAACCACGTCCAAACCTGAATGATATGAAGTGATATATTAAACATGCCTTGGAGAATCTGATGTGACGTGTTTGTGAAAAAGCATGAGAATAACGATTGCATGAGCAGGTCCGAGCTTGGGGAATGCAGTCATGTCATTATCAGCTACTTAAAGCAGCATCCTGTAATTTACCCCAAACACTCACACACTAAAAGCTGGATGTTGTCTCATTGTTTGTGACCAAAACTTAGTCAGATGTTTGTTTGATCCCAGCTGCAGGCGTTGTGTCCTCGGGCAAAACTAAAACTGGACTAAACCAGGACTATAATAGGTATAAGACAGGTCTACATGAGAATTCAACAAGGACTTTACTTGGTCTAAAGCTGGATTATACCTGAGCTCTACCAGGTTTATACCAGGTCTAAATCTGGACTAGACCTGAATTCAGCAGGTCTATACAAAATCTAAATCTGGACTAGACCTGAACTTAACCAGGACTAACTCTGGACTATACCTGAGCTCAACCAGGTCTATACTAGGTTTAAATCTGGACTAGACTGGAATTTAACCAGGACTATAACAGGTTTATACCAGGTCTAAAGCTGGACTAGACCTGAACTCAACCAGGTCTATTCTAGGTCTAACTCTGGACTATACCTGAACTCAACCAAGTCTTAAACCAAGTCTAAATCTGGACTAGATCTGAATTTAACCAGGACTATAACAGGTCTAAATCTGGACTAGACCTGAACTCAACCAAGTCTATACCAGGTCTGAATCAGGTCTAAATCTGGACTAGATCTGAATTTAACCAGGACTATAACAGGTTTATACCAGGTCTAAAGCTGGACTAGACCTGAACTCAACCAGGTCTATACCAGATCTAAGTCTGGACTAGACTGAAAATAAATATAACAAACTCAGGAAACTCTATGAACTAACTCAGGAAGGGAACAGAGCTCAGTTATTGTCACTTACTGTTGATCAACACCAATGTTCAGTTTAATTAAAATTTGTCTACTTAAAAACAATTATAGTATATACTAGTATAAATTTGTGAAGGAAGTGTGGGAGTCCTTGCTTAGACTGCTGCCCCCGCAACCCGACCCCAGATAAGCGGAAGAAAATGGATGGATGGATGGATAGTATGAATTAGGGATGTAACAATAACTGTAATATTGTGATATTGTATCGTCAAAAGTCTCACAATAATATTGTGGACCATCACAGTATATCGAATCTTAAGTCTCTTTGATTGAATTCATTGTTATGCTGTTAAAAATGATGTTTAAAAAAAAAAAAAAAAAAAACCCTGCATAGACCATGATCCTTTGCGTGGTTTTAGTGCAGACTATATAAAGATATAACTGTTACGAAGCACTTGTAAATCTTAGTTCTTTGGATTATGACAGTACCAAAGGCTTGTCAAGGATTTTAACAGGTAAAAGTTGCATATTCACAGTTTTGGCCTCCACAAAATATCACAGTAAATATCGTAGTGTGAGCTGTATAGTGTGAACAGATCACACTTTTCATTCAAAAATAAAAGAACTCATCTCAGTCTTTAACTTTGTTAACTGTACAATAATCAGAAGAGTGAACTCCTTTAGCAGAGGAAACTTGGGAGGTTCCTAACCAGCGGTAAGAAGCTGTGAGGTATCCCACAATCCACTGAATGTTTCCAAATACAACTGTTCAAGTTCTACACTGCAGCAGATTATTGATTAAAATATTCTGCATAAATAAACTTTACATTGCTAAACTTCACAACATAGAAGACACCTGTCTGCTGTTTATCCAACGCCTTAAAACCGAAGTATCTCTATATAATAGAACTAGTTGTCCTTTTTTTGAGACGAGTTCTGTATCCTCCAGGCTGGTTGCAGGAGCAGCTATGTTGAATGAAACAACAGACGAATGAGGCGAGAGTGCGGGGGGCATTATGTAGAAATATACAATATATCAGAATCCATTTCATGTTTAAGAAATATCTCGATATATTTTAAATATCGAGATCGCCCACCCCAATCCCTAGTATGAATGTGGTGTGTGTGTTTGTCAGAAGGGCAGAGGGCACAGACTGGCAGCCTCACTTTCATCAGTCTGTCCCAGGACAGCTGTGGCTGCAATAACAAACTACAGACTACAGAACCTTTGAAGCATGTGCTTCTATGGCTGTATGAGACTAGTGCACTGTTACTGAGGACTGTTCTTGTGCTGTTTCAGGGTTTTCTTCCGGCGCCATTACCCCAGTAACACTGTGACCTTCTGTGACACTGACCCTCAGGACAGGAAGTGAGTACAACAGTACATCAACACTACAGTACATCATAGTACACAAAGAATACTTGTAACTCAATATGAAATCCCCTGTTTTACAGATGGAGTAAACCTGATGGAGGCTCTGCCAAGTGAGTATCACAGACTAATGATTTCGTTAGCCTGCATCACATTTTTTTTGTAATGTAAAAACTTACTGTGACATGTGTCGAAACGTCTAACTATTAAAGTGTGAAAAATCCCTCAGTGGTCCAGGTTCAATCTATGGCAAAGGAGAAATTCAGTCTGTCAACTGGACAAAGTTTATTTGCTCAAATATGTTTTCGCAGCTCATCCAAGCTGCTTCTTGAGTTCTTCAATTCAGAACTGACCGTTTTGGATTGGAGACGGTGCCCCCACTCTGAGTCTCCGTGCAGCCATCACATCCATCCACCATCAATAAATATCTTTATCGTATTCCATTGCTGTGGCGCGGTCCTTGCGCATTAGTTATTACACAGATTCTCTTGCTCAGTGTATATATTGCTGTAGAGGTTTCCCGAGCTGGGACACTTGAGACTTTGTACATTGTAGAGCAGGGGTGTCAGACATACGGCCCAGGGGCCGGATCCGGCCCTCCAAAACCTTTAATCTGGCCCTCGGCTGATTTTCTACTAAAATATTTTAATTATATTTTCTTTTAAAATATTGTTAATTTTCTGTGGTGTTTATCACAGCAGCGTCGCCAGTGTCTCTGTACGTGGCTCCTCCCACCAGAGCAGCACAAATGAAGACTTGTCTCTTTCCAAACGCTCTTAAAGGACGATCGTTTTGACTGTTGACCGTGACACCCTCATCAGAAAAATGTCCAACATGAGAAAAGTGGAGCCGAGTGCAGGATTTTACAAGAAAAATGGACTTATTCCTATTTGCAAACAAGTTCATGTTCAAACATAGTGTTAAAATTGCATTTTTCCTAAAGTTTCAGGTTGTTTGTAATATTATAATATTTTGTAAAAGAAAGAGTTCATCAATTTAAAAAGATTTCTGTAATAGATTTGTGTTTCTCTGCACAATTTTTGAACTTATTGTTATTTTTGGGGTTTATATGCCATGAGTTTTCTGATCCGGCCCCTTTGGGATCAAAGTAGGTTGGATACGGCCCCCGGACCAAAATGAGTTTGACACCCCTGTTGTAGAGAGATGTGCCTTAAGTTTCTCTAGCTGGGACACTTAAGACTACAAAACTCAGTCAGGATATTGCACTGTATTAAATATTGTGCAACAGGGGAACAAGGGACAGCAAATATGAGGGAACATTGTTGTATTAAGGTTAAAAACATATTAAAAGCGATTCTGACTGCACCCGGGTACATTGCTTAAAATCTGAACCTCCTGACGTTTTCTCTTTTCGTATTTCGTTTCAGGTTGTTTGGCTTCGTGGCACGTAAACAGGGCAGCACCACAGACAACGTGAGCCACCTGTTCGCAGAGCTGGACCCCGCGCAGCCCGCCAGCGCCATCGTGAGCTTCGTGTCCAAAATGATCACCGCACACAAGAGATGAGAGCGCGGCCCACTCTTCTCGGACTCTCCTACGCGACGAATATTCACAAAGAAAACCCCGCTAACTTTCCGCTCTCTCCGTCTCCAAGCGCCACGTACTTTCTTGCTTCCTGCTTTGAAAACTTCGGAAACTTTCGGAAAAGACAACGTTTTCGGGATTGTATTTTTGGATGGAGTTCAGGGTGGACCAGAGGAAGTGCGAATGCGGTGAGACAGTTTGGACACGAAGGGAAAGGCGTTTATGTGCACGTGATTTTTATCAATTTAAAAGACAAAGTTAAGTTGTATGTTTTTTATTTCAAGGGCTTTTAAATCTACCGTACCTTTCCAATATGGCTACCAAAGATGACAGAAGTAGTGGGGCGTGCACTGGGGCTGGCGAGGGGGGACAAAATGGCTGCTCAGTCCGAAATACTGGTCTGTTTTGATGCTGTAGTTATGGTTACGCTCTGCTCCGATCTGAGCGACGTCTGTATTGTAAATATTGAGTAGTAAAAAGAGTGGCTTGAAATCACAACATGCCTGATTTTTATACGTACGCAAAGCTTAAAATGGACGCAAAAACCCAGGCTCGAACCCGAAATATGCAAACGAACGAAGGATTCACCGTCGAGTAGCGTTTCTGTGCTTATAGACACTTGATGCTGATTGGTCCTTCACTAAAATAACACTTTTTGGAGAAAATTCGTTCATTCGTTGTTGTAAAATTAAAATATTAAGAGTTAAAGAACAAGGCAAACACACTGTATGTTGACGTAAAGCTGCACTGTGTAAATTTTTGGTTGCTTGTTTCTATGGAGATGTCATTGCTTCGCCTAGAATGTTCCACAGTACGACATTAAACACCTCTACTTTACATTTATTCAATTATTGGTGGATTTATAGCTCAAAAATTTGTAAAAAAAACATACGTTTTGACTGTGAGCGGCGTCGCCTCTCCACAGATCTGACCTGTAACTTGGTCCGGTTTGGTCTCCATGGACATAGAAAGGTTTAATGCCACACTGTGAAACATTCAAGGCAAAGAAAGAAAAGCATTTAGTTACACAATGCTTTGACAATGAAATATTTTAAAGTTAAAACGTGGCTAAACGTCTTTGTAACTTTCGGTTTATAACATTTCAGAAGTTGACATAGCAGTAAGCGCTTTTGCCTCTTAATCAGAAGGTCCGAGGTTCGACTCCCGGGCAGCTCCACTCTGGGGACTGGACCAGAGTCTGAAAAAAGAGATTCTAAAGCTCAGTGGAACTTTCCTGATTAAATAAAGACTAAATCCAGAAATAACAAACCGTGACTGGCATCTGGTGAGCTATGAGCACAGTTAATGTTACTCTAAAGATGCATTACAGAACTTTTCTTGTGGTACGCTACCTGCTTGTCTCCATGGCGATGTCATTGCTTTACCCGGAACGTTCCACGGTATATCTATCAAGCCGTTAAAGTTATTCAGTTGCAGAGCTTTCTACTGCTCAAAAATACGTGTTCATGCTGCGAGCGGGGTTGCCTCTCCACAGATCTGACCACAATCACAATCATCGGGGATACCGTATTTTTCAGACTATAAGTGCACCGGATTATAAGGCGCAATGGCAATAATGTTGAATTCTCTCGTCTATTTTCATACATAAGGTGCACCGGATTATAAGACGCAAACAAACGGACGACTCTTGAGACTGATCCTTAGCCCAGGTGTCCACGATCAGTCAGATCATGGCGTAATTCGCGGTGGGCGTGGGTGGATAATGTTTTAAGCATGTTTTTTTTTTTTTTTTTTTTCCTACGAGGATGACTCAAATACACATTGAGTAATAATGTGTTTAATTCAGCTTTGCGCACATTTGTTTATGTTTTACAAAAGCGAAACTTAAAACCACATGACTCATTTGCATAAACTATAAGCTCTGAAAAAAACGTCTCGCTCCTTGTGCACTGAAACTGTCAGCTTCTGTCGGACTAACTCCGCGAGGCTTTTGACTACGGTCACAGTAATGCTCCGACAATCCATCAAGCAGTGCGGCTTCGTAGTTTACCAAAGTCGTACTAAAACATTTTGACAAATTTTTGAGCGCCGTGTACCACATAAAATCGTTTTGAGGTCAGTAAACACAACCAGAATTAATACATGAGGCGCACTATGGATTTTTAAGAAAATTAAAGGATTTGAAGTGCGCCTTATAGTCCGAAACATACGGTAGATAACTTACAGATAAATGCCAAACTGCAAAACATTCTAATCGTAATACAACATCTCTAAAACCCCATGTAAACGAGCAAGCAACGTTTTACCGTCCACGAGAAAAGTCCTGCATTGCACCTTTACCCGAGACTGTTTCCTCCAGTTCTTTCAGATCACCGTAGTTTTATTTTGTTCATAGTTTGACACTCACTACTGTATCCGAACCTGTCTACGCCACCCTCCTTTATAATGTAAGCTACTATATAAATAATGCATATGACTGATATAAGACTGAAGGTATTTATTTGTGCTCGCTTATGTAATCTTGTATTGTAAGTATACACAAAGACGTATATTTTGACTATTTGACGTACCATATTTGGTTACTATCACTGATACTTTTGAATGTGTTGTTGTTTTGTTTTTTTGTTTTTCACTTGCTTTTGTCACGGTTTTGGTCGCGGCCTGTATTTTTTTAAAGAGGGGAAGTATATTTTGTATTCTGAACTTTATTTTTTGAAAGTGAAACCGGCCGAAAAGATTTTTGTCCAATCGAAGCACTTAAATGTTAAAGTATTCGTTTTTGACTTTTGATCAGTTTTATGCAGTAACTGTCGCCCTCTAGTGTTAAGATAGACGTCATTACAAAAACGTTGGTGTCGAAGGCGCTGTACCTGATTTTTACCGTCTTAAAAATGTCAAAAATGCAACTAGTTTGGTTTAAACAGTTTGCAGTGGTCCAAAATTACCACAGTGACTTTCAGAAACCAAAGTCTAACAACAACTAGCATGTTAACACGAACTTCTTGATTATTGGACAATACAACGCTTTATGATTTGATGGAAACAGTGCACAATGGACTTATTTTTACCCCAAATTTAGCTCAAATGCATAGAAAAAAAAGTAAAATCAGGTACAGGGCCTTTAGTTTGATATTTTAGAAACAGCTGTACACTGTAAAAAAGAAATACCAGTATATAATGACTTTATTATAACTACTTTGGTTTGAGTTGTTTTGACTAATTTCTATCATGTCATTTGCAATATCTGAATGGTATTATGGTATAATATTTGGTTGTCCTGGGGTATTTCTGAATTGTTTGAATATGGGACTGTTGCTTTTTCTTCTAATCTCAGTTATCTCTCAATGAACACTGCAAAATCTTCAGTTCTGTTACATTTCTTGAGTATAATAATCACCAAAACAGAGCAAGTTTTGACTCGGTAAAGATTTAAGAAGTCATAGTCTACTTTTGAATATGACTTCTCAAATCTGTCATTTCAAATCTAATCGAATGGGAAGTGACTAGTCCTGATCTGCTCACGTCCAGTTTCATTTCAAGCAGTTCTTTTTGAAAGTTTCTACTTAAAATACTATTTCTTGTACTGAAATCAGTCAGAAATATCAGGAGTGAACAAATATGTATTAGTCCCATAGACCAGTGTTTCCCAAACTTTTTTTTTTTTCAGGGACCCGCAAACCTTTGCGACCCAAGTCAATAGAAATTATTCACAAAATAAATCACAAAATAAAGGTGGATTTGAGCATTATTGAGCATTAATGAGGATATTTTATTGTTGACTGAGTGATCGTGTCTCTGAACAATTAGTATTACTCAAGTTTTAAACAATGATAAACAGTCACTGAAGCAGCAATAAAAGGATCCATATGTTGTCTGTTTGGACATTAAACGTAGCCCTTTTCTTTTCAAAATTCAATTGGAAATGGTCAAAATAGTCAATAAAATAATTACAGAAATATTAGAAATTATACAGTACATGGCTTAATAATTCAGCATGTGTCAGAACTGTATATTGCAGATCTACATGCAGATCGTGATAAGGCGACCCAAAAAAAATCTCTTGGGACCCACCTGAAGGTCGTGACCCAGTCTTTGGGAAACAATGCCATAGACCAGGGGTCCCCAACCCCTGGACCGCGGACCAGTACCAGACCGCGAAAGCGCAAACCTCCTCTTCCACAAGCGTTGTCTTCAAACCAGAACTAAAACGGAACAAAAACCAAGACTGATCCAGGACTAAACCAGAACTAAACCAGGGCCACACCAGGACCACACCAGGACTAAACCAGGTCTAAACCAGGACTAAACCAGGACTAAACCAGGACTAAACCAGAACTAAACCAGGACTAAACCAGGACTAAACAAGGGCCACACCAGGACTTAACCAGGACTAAACCAGGACTAAACCAGGTCTAAACCAGGTGTAAACCAGGACTAAACCAGGACTAAACAAGGGCCACACCAGGTCTAAACCAGGTCTAAACAAGGACTAAACCAGGACAAAACCAGAACTAAACCAGGAGTAAACCAGGACTAAACCAGGGCCACACCAGGACTAAACCAGGACAAGACAAGGGCCACACCAGGACTAAACCAGGTATAAACCAAGACTAAACCAGGACTAAACCAGGTGTAAACCAAGACTAAACCAGGACTAAACCAGGGCCACACCAGGACTAAACCAGGTCTAAACCAGGTGTAAACCAGGACTAAACCAGGTCTAAACCAGGACTAAACCAGGACTAAACCAGGTCCACACTAGGACTAAACCAGGACAAAAACATGTCTAAAACAGTTCTTAAACCAGGACAAAACAGGATTTAACCAACAAACACCACCCCCCTCCTCCAGTCTGCGAAATATTATTGGATATAAAACCGCTCCGTGGCGTAAAAAAGGTTGGGGACCAGTACCATAGACTGTATAAATGGACACAGCTTCCTGTTTCCATCGCTTCCTGTTTCCATTGGCTCTAGTTCACTTTCTTTACTGTTGTTTTGGTCTTAAAATATCCATATTAACCCGCTGTATGTGATCCTGGGGTTTTTATTTCGCTGTTTTGTCCATAAGTCAAGATATGAACAATCAAGCACCTTCTTTTTCTGAGGTTTGGGCGAAGAGTGCGGGCGAGAAGGGGCGTTACCTTCAGCATCCTCGCTCCTGATTGGCTCTTTAGTTGCTACGATACTCGCGGACGGAATTCCAAACGCGGATCTCGGCTCCAAACTCACCCCATAACCTCTAGCCTCGTTCTTTAGCCGCTTCTTTATACAGTCTATGATTCGTTTTTATAAATCAATCTGCTGAAATTTGTTTTTCGCGGTGTACATTCGTTTTTAGGTCCTGCTGATTTCACGCCAAAACTTTCTCTTTTTTATTCAGCGTCACTCCCATTCACCAACAAAAAATAACAAAAAACGACCGAATTCATTACAAATATTATAAAAACTCAATTTAAATTTGCACTTAAGGGCTCGTTTTCATATTTCAGTATTTATTGGTGAATTCTCGAAATGTTACTGTAGCTCCTCCTCGCTCCATCGGGACAAACTCAAAATGTCAGATCGGATTTTTCAACTCACTTTTTTGTGTTGAACTGAATGTTGAAATTTAACTCCAGGTTTACACTGCGAAAAATACTAAAATTTGCATGAGTTCAAATGACAAAAGATTTAAACATCAATAATTTGGGTATTTGGGTAACAAAATCAGTAGTCAGAAACTATTAATGTCAAAACAATTGACAGAAAATAATTGACTTTTCTTCATTTCTACGATTTTAAGTATAAAAATCCAGGTTTTTAACAAATATAAGTTTGCTGAAATAATAAAAATAATAATAATTAAAAAAAGACTCAAAATACCTAAAAGTTTCTTTAAATTCCAATTTTGTTTTCAGGGAATTTCAGATTTTTTTTTTTTAATATTGAGATCTTGGAAAAAAAAAAAAAAAACTGTGTGCACTGTGTAGCTTTTCTTGTGGAAATTTGGTGCACTTCTTGTCTCCATGGAGATGTTATTGCTTGTTTTCTTGTTTTGAAATGTCCCACACTATGGCATTTACATCTACAACAATTACACATGTTTTTATTGTTCTAAAATACAGCGAAAAACAAGTTTTATTAACTGTGAGCGGCGTCATTTGTCACTTTTCTATAAATCTGACTTGTAATTTGGTCTATAAGTGGTGTTACTCCTTGTTACCATGGAGATAACCAGGTTTAATGCCATACTATGGGGCAGTCCAAGCAAAGCGAGCAAGAACATTTCCACGGACATAAGTAGTACCACCTTTTTAAACAGAGATCAGCCCAAGAATTAAATTAATTGAAACAAAATTGTGTATTTCCGTCATTTGAACTCGTGTAAATGGGTGTGTTTTTTGGAGTGTGTTTTGGTCCATCACTGAGAAGACTCTGGACCCTGAATGTGTCTTGCTTCTCCCACCGTGGAGACTGTTGTTTTTGGGTTTGCTCCAAATATATCTGTACATTGTATGACCTTTATAATTTCTGATGAAAATATTAAAATACAGTACAACTCGAGTGTGTTTTTTTATTTCTACACGTTCATTACAAGTGATACTTTGCAGTTCATCATAAAGTGTCATCTTACAGAGGTCCCGAGCTTTCAGCACAAACTCAGACAGCTTGAAAACATTACATTTAAACAAATACTCCAGTCTCTCCTCAAAATAATAATAATAATAATAATAATAATGCATCAGTTTCATGTAGCGCTTTTTTGGACACTTAAAGATGCACAGATTTACAGAGCATTATTCATTCACTCCATACCTGGTGCTGATAAAATATTATTGTAGACTGACAGAAGTGAGGCTGCCAATCTGCACCATTGGCCCCTCTGACACCACGATCACTCACACACACAACCCTTTCATACTAGGCAAAGTGGGTGAAGTGTCTTGCCTAAGGACACAACAACAGTTTTTATAACTGGCGCCCCCTGTGGCACCTGATTTTCCCAGTGGTTTCCCATCCAAGTACTGACCAGGCCCGGCCCTGCTGAGGTTCTGAGATCTGACGGGATCAGGATTTGACAATATGGTATGGCCACAGAGACACAGAGACGTCAGACACAGCAAACAAACAGTAAGATACACTAGACAACAACTGAGAGCGCAGGTCATGATACAAAGGATAGTAGGGAAGAAAATGCATTTCATTTTCAATGTCCTTTAAGGCACACAGAGCACATGTACTCCAACTCTGGGACTGAGTAGCCAGAGGCAGAAACCCACACCTCAGCAGAACACATACTGACCTCTGACCTTTATAAAGTTGTGGTCCCCAACACATATAACACCCACACACATCTCTCACTCTAGAAAAAGTGATGTTAATAGTGGAGTTTGACAAAAAAAAAAAAAAAAAAAAAAGAGTGCAGACATGAGCCTCACTTCAGTGTCTGGATGAAGAGAAATGTCTGTACGGCAGACTGTGGTCCTGTGTTGCTCTCTCTCGTCTGTGTCAGTTCATCCTCTTGTGAAGTGGCTGTTGAAGCGGCAGAATCAGAACCCAGAAGAAAGGTCGTAACTATTCCTTACATGGCTGGTGTTTCTGAAAAACTACAGAGGATTTTCAGACACCATGAGGTCCCAGACTATTTCAAACCTACAAACACTTTTAGAGAGAAACTGGTCCAGCCAAAGGACAAAACTACACTGGAGAAACGAAACAGAGACACTTCACAAGAGGATGAACCAACACAGACAAGAGAGCAATACAAGACCTCAGTCTGATGTTTATCTCCACCTAAAAGGACCTCAGTCTGCCGTATAGGCATTTATCTTCATCCAGACACTGAAGTGAGGCTCATGTCTGCACAGTTTTTCTGTGAAACTCCACTATTGACATCACTTTTTTTGTTCAACGATGTAAAAATAGATGAAAAATGTTGGACTGTTTTACACCGAGGAGAGTGAATCTGTCGGAGCACACAGAGACACTGAGGAGTCTTTATACAAGAGCCAAAACCCAGGGAGCAGAGTATGAGTGAATGTGGTGTTGAAGGTGTGGAGGTGGGTCAGTTGGTCAGAGGAGACTGTGTAGAAGGACAGAGAGCCAGCAGGACAGTCCACAAACACTGCTACTCTCCCAGAAGAGGAGCAGGGCTGAGGGAGGAGGGTTTGTTTGTTATTATGAAGAACATAGAAACCACCTTTAGAACACCACAGACTCCAGGACTGATCATTGTGTCCAAACCAACTGTCAGCACCGTTTCCTTTCCTTCTAATTCTTCTGTAAGACACTGATATAGAAACGTCTTCACTCCACTCGACCTCCCAGTAACAGCGGCCAGTCAGACCAGTGGAACACAGAATCTGTTCCCAGAAGTCAAATCTGTCCTGATAATCTGGATACGGCTGCTTCTCTCTCACATGTGTCACCTTCTTGTTGTTGTCAGACAGTTTGAGTTTTCTGTGAGCTGTGTTTGGATCCAGAGTGAGATCACAGAAATCTGATGGAGAGAAAACACAACACAGCAGCAGTTAGTCCCCTGTCCACTCTCATCATTCCACTCTTCTGTTTGTATCAGATTTATGTGAGTGTAAAAACACATTTCCTCTCACAGCCCCACACCAGTTTATTTCAGATTATTCTCAGCGTAAACCTGGAGTCTATTTAGATTCTTCTCTGTGTAAATCTTTCTCTGGAGTTTGTTGCTGCAGTGACAAAGTGCAGCTCCAGTCTCTGACATCACTACACACATTCCTACACTCCTCTGTGCTCCAGGACACACACTTTCTCCTTTAAAGAGGGGCTATGTTCTGAGTCTGTCCTCTCTTTGCTAACCATGCTAAATTGCTCCCCCTTCAGAGCACTATCCCAACACACACAACCACTAATGAAACTCCTGCACATCACATCAGGTTTGTCCAGTTGCTGTGTTCAGTTTTGTGTCATGTTTTCGTGTATTTATGGAGAATTGTCGTGTGGGAGCCTGGGGGACGTAGACTTGTGGGCGGAGTCTAGTACAGGTCCCTACTGCTAATAGTAAGGAGGGTCCAGGAGAGATCTCTAGATTACTCAAACATGCATGGATGACTTTTTCTTGCATAAGAGCCGCTCTTTAAATTATGTCCATGTGAATCCAGTGTCACTTATGCTTGTGTGGAGACAGTCCTGTGCTGAGTCCAACAGCTGTGTCTGTGTCAGTGGCTCCAGGGCTCCTCCTTTGCTCCAGCAGCAGTACTTCTGATGTTTTGATTTATTCATTGTGATTATTGTGATTTTGTACAAATAAACTTCCCTTGTATTGTAAAAACAGTGTCCAGATGAGTACCCCTGAAACTCTACATCTCTACATCACCAACAGTGTTTGAACTCACTCAAAAAGGAAATGCTGTGACCCTCAAAAATGACCCGGTTGTGCAATTGAATGCTGACAGGTGCTTTGTTTGTGTGACACAAATAAAAACTGACCAGAGTTAAATGGGTTAAGTCAGACTTACATCTCCGGATTGGATTCATCCATCGTTCTCCAGCAGGTCTCAGTCTGAAGGAAACACACCACATCAGAGTTTGTCTCAGAAGCATTTTCACCCAATGTGACATTCAAATATGTTCTTTTGACCCTAACAGTCTTCTCAGTCTGTGGTACACAGGACTCTAGTGCTTCTGAAGTCTGTTTTATTCATGACACTGACACATGTCATTTATAATTGTGAGTGTTAAGCAGGCGAGCATGTCCATACCTGAGAGTGTCCAGTGTGCAGTGGGGGTCCTCCTGTAGAGCACACAGGAGCTTTACTCCTGTGTCTCCTGGATGGTTGTAGCTGAGGTCCAGTTCTATCAGACGGGAGGGGTTGGACCTCAGAGCTGAGGCCAGAGAAGCACAGCCTTCCTCTGAGAGCAGACAACCTGACAGTCTGAGGACACAGATTATTGGAATCAGTCCATTCATTAGAAACATTCAACCCAAATGAGACAAAGAACAAGTCCCAGATCTTTATGTGACTTTATCAAATGTGATTTTCCAATGCAAATACCAACAGGTTATGTAATAATAGTGAAGAATATGAACCCCTCTGACCTGAGCTGTTCCAGTTTACAGTGAGGACTCTTCAGTCCAACACACAACATCTTCAGCCCAGAGTCTTTCAAGTCGTTGAGACTGAGGTCCAGGACTCTCAGACTAGAGGACTGGGAGCTGAGGACTGAGGACAGAGCTTCACAGCTTCTCTCTGACAGGTTACAGCTGCTCAGTCTGGAGGAGAGACAGGAGTTCATTAGAGAAGAACTCAGAACAGAAGTGACAAGTTCAGATACATCCTTTCACTCCCAATCTCAACAATCAACCTGTAAAGAAAAAATATATTTTTATTCATGAAAACAAAAACAGTTACTGTATTTCTCCTGTAGGATGGTGTTGTTTTTCTCGTCTTTTAAACCTGGACAGTTTCATTTCATGAAAAATAATAAATACTAATAAATACTTTATGAACATAAATGTTCTTGGGACACAGTTGACTTCAAACATGTTGTCCTTCTTGGACAGAAAGAGATCAGATGTTCTTTCTCATGCCGTTTGTTTTTGTCTCTGCTGTTTTGGCTTTGTTTGTCTCCCTTTGTCTCTTCTGTGTGTGTGTCTCCTCCACACTCCTGTTTCTTGCAACTCTGCTCTAGTAGAATGGAACACAACTTCCAACAGGGAATCAAAGTTATTAGTTGTAATGTAAATGGGACTGGAAACAAAATAAAGTGTCACAAAACATGATCACATCTTAGGTGTGAATAAACAAACAACCAGAACTGAAGTTTGAACCAAAAATGTGTTGATATGTGTCAAATGTGTCTTGGAAAATGCGTGTCTTGGACATTCGGGTGAAGAGGGGGCAGAGCTGTAGAGCACCACGTGGTTGTGAGTTGGTTCGCTAGTGGAGGAAGAAGCCGGAAAGTCCTGGAAGGCCAAGCGTGTAGTGAGGGTCTGTTGGACAGCCAGGCCCACACGACAGGCACACAGACCTTACGCCCACAGCTGCGAGCGACCGCATCGACAATAGAGTCCGAGAATGAAGCGCACTCAGACTCCATGTCCCTAGCCTCCCCCGGAACCTGGGAGAAGCCCTCCCGGAGGTGCGAGTTGAAAGGCCCTCTGACAGAGGGTCCCAACAGACCCTCACTACACGCTTGGGCCTTCCAGGACTTTCCGGCTTCTTCCTCCACTAGCGAACCCAACTCACAACCACATGGTGCTCTACAGCTCTGCCCCTCTCTTCACCCGAATGTCCAAGACACGCATTTTCCAAGACACATTTGACACATATCAACACATTTTTGGTTCAAACTTCAGTTCTGGTTGTTTGTTTATTCACACCTAAGATGTGATCATGTTTTGTGACACTTTATTTTGTTTCCAGTCCCATTTACATTACAACTAATAACTTTGATTCCCTGTTGGAAGTTGTGTTCCATTCTACTAGAGCAGAGTTGCAAGAAACAGGAGTGTGGAGGAGACACACACACAGAAGAGACAAAGGGAGACAAACAAAGCCAAAACAGCAGAGACAAAAACAAACGGCATGAGAAAGAACATCTGATCTCCTTCTGTCCAAGAACCAATGAGAACATTTTTGAAGTCAACTGTGTCCCAAGAACATTTATATTCATAAAGTATTTATTAGTATTTATTATTTTTCATGAAATGAAACTGTCCAGGTTTAAAAGACGAGAAAAACAACACCATCCTACAGGAGAAATACAGTAACTGTTTTTGTTTTCATGAATAAAAATATATTTTTTCTTTACAGGTTGATTGTTGAGATTGGGAGTGAAAGGATGTATCTGAACTTGTCACTTCTGTTCTGAGTTCTTCTCTAATGAACTCCTGTCTCCTCCTCCAGACTGAGCAGCTGTAACCTGTCAGAGAGAAGCTGTGAAGCTCTGTCCTCAGTCCTCAGCTCCCAGTCCTCTAGTCTGAGAGTCCTGGACCTCAGTCTCAACCACTTGAAAGACTCTGGGCTGAAGATGTTGTGTGTTGGACTGAAGAGTCCTCACTGTAAACTGGAACAGCTCAGGTCAGAGGGGTTCATATTCTTCACTATTATTACATAACCTGTTGGTATTTGCATTGGAAATTCACATTTGATAAAGTCACATAAAGATATGGGACTTGTTCTTTGTCTCATTTGGGTTGAATGTTTCTAATGAATGGACTGATTCCAATAATCTGTGTCCTCAGACTGTCAGGTTGTCTGCTCTCAGAGGAAGGCTGTGCTTCTCTGGCCTCAGCTCTGAGGTCCAACCCCTCCGTCTGATAGAACTGGACCTCAGCTACAACCATCCAGGAGACACAGGAGTAAAGCTCCTGTGTGCTCTACAGGAGGACCCCCACTGCACACTGGACACTCTCAGGTATGGACATGCTCGCCTGCTTAACACTCACAATTATAAATGACATGTGTCAGTGTCATGAATAAAACAGACTTCAGAAGCACTAGAGTCCTGTGTACCACAGACTGAGAAGACTGTTAGGGTCAAAAGAACACATTTGAATGTCACATTGGGTGAAAATGCTCTGAGACAAACTCTGATGTGGTGTGTTTCCTTCAGACTGAGACCTGCTGGAGAACGATGGATGAATCCAATCCGGAGATGTAAGTCTGACTTAACCCATTTAACTCTGGTCAGTTTTTATTTGTGTCACACAAACAAAGCACCTGTCAGCATTCAATTGCACAACCGGGTAATTTTTGAGGGTCACAGCATTTCCTTTTTGAGTGAGTTCAAACACTGTTGTGATGTAGAGATGTAGAGTTTCAGGGGTACTCATCTGGACACTGTTTTTACAATACAAGGCAAGTTTATTTGTACAAAATCACAATAATCACAATGAATAAATCAAAACATCAGAAGTACTGCTGCTGGAGCAAAGGAGGAGCCCTGGAGCCACTGACACAGACACAGCTGTTGGACTCAGCACAGGACTGTCTCCACACAAGCATAAGTGACACTGGATTCACATGGACATGGGCTCTTATGCAAGAAAAAGTCATCCATGCATGTTTGAGTAATCTAGAGATCTCTCCTGGACCCTCCTTACTATTAGCAGTAGGGACCTGTACTAGACTCCGCCCACAAGTCTACGTCCCCCATGCTCCCACACGACAATTCTCCATAAATACACAAAAACATGACACAAAACTGAACACAGCAACTGGACAAACCTGATGTGATGTGCAGGAGTTTCATTAGTGGTTGTGTGTGTTGGGATAGTGCTCTGAAGGGGGAGCAATTTAGCATGGTTAGCAAAGAGAGGACAGACTCAGAACATAGCCCCTCTTTAAAGGAGAAAGTGTGTGTCCTGGAGCACAGAGGAGTGTAGGAATGTGTGTAGTGATGTCAGAGACTGGAGCTGCACTTTGTCACTGCAGCAACAAACTCCAGAGAAAGATTTACACAGAGAAGAATCTAAATAGACTCCAGATTTACGCTGAGAATAATCTGAAATAGACTGGTGTGGGGCTGTGAGAGGAAATGGTTTTACACTCACATAAATCTGATACAAACAGAAGAGTGGAATGATGAGAGTGGACAGGGGACTAACTGCTGCTGTGTTGTGTTTTCTCTCCATCAGATTTCTGTGATCTCACTCTGGATCCAAACACAGCTCACACAAAACTCAAACTGTCTGACAACAACAAGAAGGTGACACATGTGAGAGAGAAGCAGCCGTATCCAGATTATCAGGACAGATTTGACTTCTGGGAACAGATTCTGTGTTCCACTGGTCTGACTGGTCGCTGTTACTGGGAGGTCGAGTGGAGTGAAGACGTTTCTATATCAGTGTCTTACAGAAGAATTAGAAGGAAAGGAAACGGTGCTGACAGTTGGTTTGGACACAATGATCAGTCCTGGAGTCTGTGGTGTTCTAAAGGTGGTTTCTATGTTCTTCATAATAACAAACAAACCCTCCTCCCTCAGCCCTGCTCCTCTTGTGGGAGAGTGTCAGTGTTTGTGGACTGTCCTGCTGGCTCTCTGTCCTTCTACACAGTCTCCTCTGACCAACTGACCCACCTCCACACCTTCAACACCACATTCACTCACACTCTGCTCCCTGGGTTTTGGCTCTTGTATAAAGACTCCTCAGTGTCTCTGTGTGCTCCGACAGATTCACTCTCCTCGGTGTAAAACAGTCCAACATTTTTCATCTATTTTTACATCGTTGAACAAAAAAAGTGACGTCAATAGTGGAGTTTGACAGAAAAACTGTGCAGACATGAGCCTCACTTCAGTGTCTGGATGAAGATAAATGCCTATACGGCAGACTGAGGTCCTTTTAGGTGGAGATAAACATCAGACTGAGGTCTTGTATTGCTCTCTTGTCTGTGTTGGTTCATCCTCTTGTGAAGTGTCTGTTTTCGTTTCTCCAGTGTAGTTTTGTCCTTTGGCTGGACCAGTTTCTCTCTAAAAGTGTTTGTAGGTTTGAAATAGTCTGGGACCTCATGGTGTCTGAAAATCCTCTGTAGTTTTTCAGAAACACCAGCCATGTAAGGAATAGTTACGACCTTTCTTCTGGGTTCTGATTCTGCCGCTTCAACAGCCACTTCACAAGAGGATGAACTGACACAGACGAGAGAGCAACACAGGACCACAGTCTGCCGTACAGACATTTATCTTCATCCAGACACTGAAGTGAGGCTCATGTCTGCACTCTTTTTTTTTTCTTTTTTTTTTGTCAAACTCCACTATTAACATCACTTTTTCTAGAGTGAGAGATGTGTGTGGGTGTTATATGTGTTGGGGACCACAACTTTATAAAGGTCAGAGGTCAGTATGTGTTCTGCTGAGGTGTGGGTTTCTGCCTCTGGCTACTCAGTCCCAGAGTTGGAGTACATGTGCTCTGTGTGCCTTAAAGGACATTGAAAATGAAATGCATTTTCTTCCCTACTATCCTTTGTATCATGACCTGCGCTCTCAGTTGTTGTCTAGTGTATCTTACAGTTTGTTTGCTGTGTCTGATGTCTCTGTGTCTCTGTGGCCATACCATATTGTCAAATCCTGATCCCGTCAGATCTCAGAACCTCAGCAGGGCCGGGCCTGGTCAGTACTTGGATGGGAGACCACTGGGAAAATCAGGTGCCACAGGGGGCGCCAGTTATAAAAACTGTTGTTGTGTCCTTAGGCAAGACACTTCACCCACTTTGCCTAGTATGAAAGGGTTGTGTGTGTGAGTGATGGTGGTGTCAGAGGGGCCAATGGTGC